GCCTTTCATCAGATGGTGCAGGGACAACACTTACTAGTACTTACAGACAATGTGTCGGCAAAGGCACATGTCAATCGCCAAGGGGGACGAGGTCCAAGACCTTGATGCAGGAGGCTCTTCTTCTCGGAAGGTGGGCGGAATCTCACCTTCAATCCCTCAAGGCGGATCACATCGCGGGGAGGGACAACCTTCAGGCGGACTATCTCAGCCGCACCACGATAGACGCATCAGAATGGCGCCTCAGCCCCGCTCTGTTTCAGGACATCTGTCTCCGGTTCGGCCAGCCACAGGTAGACCTCCTTGCATCCCCAGAGAACGCACAGCTACGCCGATTCTTCACGCGCTATCCATCGCGGGGGGCAGAGGACACAAACGCTCTCCGTTGCCCCTGGCCCCAGGAGCTACTCTATGCGTTCCCGCCGATCCCATTGATCCCGCGGGTCCTTCGCAGAATTGTAGCCGAGAGAGCGGACGTGGTCTTCATCGCTCCTTATTGGCCAAGAAGGCCATGGTTCTCCGACCTCGTAGCCCTCTCAACGACGGACCCTTGGCGACTACCTCCGGAGAAAGTGTCCCTCAGTCAAGGGACAATCCTACACCCAGAGCCCCAGTGGCTCAACCTAACCGCTTGGCGCTTGAAGGGCTCCTCTTGAGGGAAGCAAGGTACTCAGAAGATGTCATCCGGGTTATGCAGGCTGACAAAAAGGAGTCCACCATCAGACTCTACAACATCACGTGGAAGGTATTTATTTCGTGGTGCTCTGCGCGCGAAATTAACCCTTTGTCAGCTTCTGTTCCGCAGGTGTTGGAGTTTCTCCATGATGGCTACACCAAGGGTCTGGCACATAATACCCTCAAGCGGCATGTTGCAGCTCTCGCCACGGTGTTGTCTCCCAGGGACGGCGTACCTCTGTCTCATCACCTTTCCATCCGGAGGTTCCTACGTGGGGTACGAAATCTGCGCCCACCCGTGGTACACCGCTATCCCACATGGGACTTGCCACACGTATTGTCAGCCTTGACAGGTCCACCCTTCGAACCTCTCCGGACTGCCTCCCTTAGATTTCTAACCATGAAAGTGGCCTTCCTGGTGGCCGTGACTTCGGCTCGCCGCATTTCTGAACTGGCAGCTCTATCTGTCAGACCAGATTTATGTGTGATACACTCAGATAGGGTAATTCTTAGACTGGACCCGGCATTCGTGCCAAAAATTAACTCACGGTTCCATCGCGAACAGGAAGTTATCCTGCCTAATTTTTGTCCAAATCCATCTCACCCACTAGAACGCAAATGGCGGACCCTTGATGTTCGCAGGGCTTTAAAAATATATATATCTCGGACCGCATCCTCAAGACGCTCCGAAGCCCTATTTATTTCCTTCCAACCCTCATCTTTGGGATCCAAAGTTTCTTCAGTCACCATAGGGCGTTGGATCCGAGCTTGCATTTCCAAAGCTTATGACTCACGATCTCTTCCCATTCCACGTCATATTACAGCTCACTCCACACGGAGTGCAGCTACTACCGCTGCTTGGGCCACGCAGGCCTCCCTCGAGGAAATTTGCCGGGCAGCTACCTGGGCCTCTCCTGTTCCATTCATCAAACACTACCGTTTGGACACCTTTGCCTCCGCCGAGGCAGCCTTCGGAAGGAGAGTCCTCCAACAGGTTCACCTGGCACCTCGACATCGACCTTCGCAGACCTCCCGCCCGACGAATTAACAAGCTTGGGTATGTCCCACTTCTGACCCACTCCGCATCCCAGTGGGAGAAGAGGCGTTGGACTTACCGTGAACGCTCTTTCTCCAGGGGATGCGGAGTGGGTCAGCCCCTCCCGTCTGCGATTTCTCTTGTATTTTCTAGGCTTGAGACTGTTTTGCAGATCTGCCTTCGTCGAAACAAACTGGAAGGAAGGGAGGCCTGAGTAGGCGTGGCCAAGTTTATCCGACTCAGTGATTGGCCAGACGGGCTGGATCATCCCACTTCTGACCCACTCCGCATCCCCTGGAGAAAGAGCGTTCACGGTAAGTCCAACGCCTCTTCCCAGTCAGCATCTCTGTTTGATTCTGGAATCCGTGCGGCTTTGCCAAGTAGGTCTTCGGCAGAGTGTCAAGGGAGATGAAGGTTGGTGATTATCCCGAAGGACTTCCCCTGAAGGACTTTTTGCAAGTAATTGGGACTCAGCTGTGAATGAACGTAATTCACAGCTGTTGCAATAAAAGAGGTTTTTGGGACTACTCGTGTGTTTTAATGACTCAGGAAGCCTAGGTCACAACAAGATCTGACACACATACTGGAAAGAAACATAGTTGGCTGGGGAATTCTGGGAGTTAAAGTCCACACATCTTTAAAGTTGCCAAGGTTGAGAAACACTGTAAAGAATCCATCTGTTGAAGTGAGCTTTGGATCGTGAATGTGGATATGCCAATGGGTATTTTTAGTCTCCAAAGCATTATAAGACTGTTGGTTGGCTTCCTGTCAAATCAACTCCCAGAAAGATTGAATATGCCCTGATGTAGGCACTCATTAACTAAAAATGAAATCTAATGACAGAGTGGATTAGACCGTGTTTGCTAATTGACCTCCACTTACATGGTTTTTTTTGTAAAAATAAAAAAAAAAAAGCCCGAGTCAGGCATTTTTACAGAGGTTGTCATTGTCTCATTTGTCCAAATAAAATCCTTCCTCTATTTAAAGCAACAAGAGGTTCAGTGCAAACTGCACTAATGCCAGAATTTCATTTCAGACTGTTTTCTGAGCTTTTGGTTTGCTTTGCCTTATTTTCGTATTTACTAAAGATAAAGAAAAAAAGCCCATGGATATAAGCTGTAGAATAAATTATTTCTGAGTGTTGTAATACTTTGGGCAGCATGCATGAATAATTTCTTATTGTTTGCATTCTGCCTTATGGGTGTAATGAGACTGCCTGCTGTTTTTTTGCTAAAGTTTCTATTAGTGCAGAACAAATATATTAATATGTTCCTGCTATCTCTTGAAATATTTAATCTGGGGGAGAAATCCTAGAAATTACAGTTCTATGTGCTTTATCTCTCAACAAAATGCACTGATTAAATTATGACTCACTTCTGATTAAACATGCCTAGGATCGAGCTGTCCAATTATGAAGACTTTTTAAGGCTTTAAAATATAGGACATGGATTCCAACAAATTGATTTATTTCATCCTTCTCCCAGTTGCTAATTATACTGTAGATATTACAGGCATACGTTGGACACACTTTCAGAATGCCTCCAAAGGTTGCCAGGTAATTATCATTTTCAATAGTGCAAAAGAAGAAAATAATTAAATACATAGGGAATAGTCACAATAATTTAATTCAAATTATTATTAAATTAAATCTAACATAGTTCTTGGCCTTCTTGCTGTAGGGTATCTGTTGTAGGGCGGGATGTGGGTGTGTCAAAAAGGCAATATGTTGGCCATAATGGAATCCCTACCTTTCTCACATGTCATCTCAGCTGCTTAGTACTGTTCTTTCTTGCTGGTTTCATATCACCCTAGTAATAGATGGGAGCTTGGATGTTCTCAAGCTTTCTTGGATGGTCTGGTTCCTCACTGTAGTAACAATGAGTCTGCTTATAGCAAGGAAGTACAAAGGCTGACATTGTGGTGTAAGGAATATAATCTTACACTTAATACCAAAAAAGCTAAAGAACTTATAATTGACTTCAGGAGGAAGAGAGATGTTCAGTTACCATTGTACATAAACGGTGAGGAGATGGAGAGGGTTGGTAGTTTTAAATTTCTGGGCCTTTATATCTCGGAGGACCTCTCATGGACTATGAATGTTAACATGCTTGTGAAGAAGGCACAGAAGAAGCTGTACTTCCTGAGAATGCTCAGGAAGATAAATCTATCTCAGCATCTACTTCTGTCCTACTATAACAGCACCATTGAGAGTGTCCTGACATACGGCATTCTTGCATGGTATGGGAGCAGCTCTGCAGTGGATAAAAAAGCTCTACAGAGAATCGTTAAAACTGCCCAGAATATCATCGGGCTCCAGCTACCAGCCCTGGACGACATCTTTGAATCTCGCTGTTTGAGGAGGTTGCATAACATTCTCAGAGACTCTTCCCATCCTGCTTACAATCTTTTTGGACTGTTGCCTTCTGGCAGAAGATACAGAACAATTAAAACTCGGACCACACATTTTCTGAATAGTTTTTATCCCAGAGCTATAATTGCACTCAACAATGAACTAAAGGGCCACCATCAGTGAGCTGTTGGACAGCATTACTTGGTCTGTTGTGTGGATGTTTGGGTGGTTTAGGGGTGGGGAATTTGTGGTGGGTGGGGGGGTGTTTGGGGATTGTCATGTATGTTGGACCTGGTCTTTGGGTGTTAAGTGAATTTTGTTGTATGGGTATACTGTGTATACACATACAATGACAATAAAGTTGTTGTTGTTGTTATTTAAAGAAAAGACTGAACAGCCACCTGTCTGAAATGATATAAGGTCTCCTGCTTGGATAGAATACCTTCCAGCTCTATTCTGATTGATTGGTCTCTAGAAGTCAAAAATAATTTGATGGCTCATAATCAGTCAATCTGCTATCTTGCTGAAAAGAGTTTTCATCGGACCTGAGACCTACTGCATGGACACAGCTGGAATGCTCTTGCCTTCCTTGCCTGGTGTTGTGAAATTGTCAAAGTTATTTCACGTTATTTGTTTTCCTGTGAATTACATACTAATGTGTTTTACCTCACCTTATCCAAAAGTTTCACAGGCATTGAAATAAGAATGCAATTGCTCACTTGGCAGAATCTTTTTTTGTCATTAAACAAGTTCCAAAGTTTGTTGTTCCAAACCAAAAGTAGTAACTGAGCATTCTAAAGGGTTCTTTAAATTAATTTGTATTTAAATTCTAAATACACAATCTAGGCACAATCTCAGCTGAGCAGTTCTTTTGATTTAGAGCTTTAGAGCTCAGATTCTGAGCCATGATGATCACCTAAATTTGGGCCTCGTTTCTTTCAGGATCTAAGGGCTGATACCCCACTTGGTGATCTGTGGCATCATGACTTTTGGGGGAATAAACTCAGTAGCAATACAAGCCACAAATCTTACCGACCGCTTACTGTATTCACTTTCAGGTGAGACATTTTAGGCTACCTTAAGATTGCTTTCTTTTGGGGGATGGGGTCATTAATGGGGATAAAATTCATTGAGATGCTGTCTATTTAGTGAAATAAAGTGTCATTTAGTATTGTAAATATAGATTGATTTTCCCATCTGGATGCATAATCTGTTGGTGGATTATAATACGTGACAATTATTTTGGGTTCTTCAACCATGGACATCTTCGTATAGAATAACTTCTCCTGTTACAGACAGTTGGAAACATCTCATAAGTAAAATGTGGGCCTCATTTCTAGATCACTAAGAACCCTGAACATATACTGTGTTTGCTTCCACAAACATATTAGCAACATTTTAAGACAACATGTAGTTTCATTGGTGCTTGCCTTGTTCTCTTGGCTGGAAGGCTGCCATTGTGTTATGGTTCTCATTGAAATATATGGTCCACTATAGTACACTCGCTCTCACATCCACATACTCAGAACCTCTTAAGGAAGAAGTGAGTAATCTCCAACCTTCCTTCACAAGCCCATGGATTGGTGTTAGTGGGATAAATCCCAATGTAAGCATCTAACAAGGAAAGGCTATTTATTTATTTATAAACATAAGCAAATAAATAAAGTGGCATTTCCACTCGATGTGCCATATTGCTATATATTGGATGGGTGCAAGATTTCCAGTCCTACTCGGAGTTGCCAAGGATTAAACCTGGGAGCTTTGTGGCATGCAGGACACATGATGTACCATTTACATATTCAGTTGGCTTTAAAATCATTCTTCTTGATTGCTACTAATTTAATGTTGCCCTGGTACTAACAGAGGTTCAGAAACTGTACTGGAACTCAGGTTGAATCACTGGGGAAGACCAAAAGAAAAGGAGAAAACACTTGAAAAAGAAGAAAGGACCAAAAACTCTAAAAAGAATCTTCTATTTCTAGGTTGAGAAGAACCTATTTCCTATTGCTGATGCTTCAGATACAGGAGCGCTAGTTGCTATGCCAAGTGTTAAGTTGCCTGCCTTTCGCATCCCTGTTTGTCACTTCCCTTCAATGTCTCCTCTGTACTAAGTTACACAGGCACTGCCATCTCTGTGCATATACATAAAGCACACGTTTGGATTATTTTAACATATTCTAATTTCATTTGTTCCTGTTTTTAACTTCACTGTTCTCTTTTTGTCTTCCCTTGTATAGGATTAATTACCTTTTAGCTGGAGGCTTCCACCCATTGGGCTTTCATATCATCAATATAATACTCCATTGTATTATTTCTGTCTTAATTGTTGATGTCTTCTCAATATTATTGGGTGGGCTGCACTACACCAATAAAGGAAGAAGGCTCAACTTTGTCCCCAAATCCTCCTTCCTAGCGGCTTTGCTGTTTGCTGTACATCCTGTGCACACTGAATGTGTAAGTACCTAATGACTCGGGTGTTAAGAAGTGCTCAGAAACGTTAGGGTTCCATCATCTAATCTTTTGTATTCCTGCCAGTTACCTGTCTTGTATGCACTCCTCTGTTTGTGTGTCTGTATATAACAGGGGTCCTCAAACTAATGGCCCGCCGAAGCCATTAATCCAGCCCACACAAGACCACAAGATTGCCCCGCCTACATCGCCCCACCTACCCGCTGGCCCCCACCCGCCTTCTGGAGGCCAGGGAGGCCAAAAATGGAACGTGCGGAAGCCTCTGGAGGCTAAAAACGGGCCAGTTCTTTGCCTCCCCGGCCTTCAGAAAGAGAAAGACACACAGACACACATACACACACACACAAACAGAAGTCCCTCATACACACCCCAAGGCTAACCTGCTTTCCACCCTCAGGAGCATAACAAATTAAAGTTTAATTTGTGTGTATTGTTTGGACTGCTAAATTGGCCATGCCCACCAAGTCACATGACCACCTAGCCACGCCCACCCAGCTGGTCTAGCCCCCGAACAGTCTGAGGGACCGTGAATTGGCCCCCTGTTTAAAAAATTTGAGGACCCCTGGTATACAACATACCTGATTTTATGTTGCAACTTCTCTTTGTTTGTCTGTCCTTTGCATTGACATCTCTGGTATATTACTAATCCCTCAGAGAGATTTTGGTTTCAAAAGATGCCGATAATTTATATACTTATTTATTTTTAAAGTGTATCTTGATTGGCATAAAGACCGCATGGTGTATCCATAATTGGGGAGATCGATGATAGCATTTTGCTAGGAGAAAGTGTAAGTACTTGTATGGCAGAATCCCTAGTTTTTATTAATCCTTGGTAGTCAATATCCTACCGAAACACCCACAAAATGTGCTGCATTAGATATATCCAATGTCTTTCTTGAAACAAATTTCTCAAGAGCAGTTCATATGATCTATCTTAGACAGAAGCAGACTCTTGTGATCTGTTTCTTTAAAGGGTTCTCTGAGGAAAAGCACTATGGTATTCAGATTTTAACACTGGGATACACTGTTATCCTCATATGAAGCCATCCATGCATTTCTGAACAGAGACTTAATCTGATGCCATGATTCAGTTGTTAGTTGAGTCGTCTTTGGATGGTGACAGTTGTTTATACTAAGCAATATTTGGGGCTGATTTCACATTTGGAACATGCCAATGAAGATAGGTGTTTCCATAAAACTGAGGTAAGGTAGGGAGCCACAGGTGTCTGGTTATGTTGATGTGTCGAGACGCCATTTTGTCTATCCCTGCTTATCCTATCAGCCAGTTAACAGATGCTTTGGGGCTTTACGTTTGAATCTATCTTGAAGTAATAATAAATTTCAACATTTTACATATGATCTAATCTTATCTGTGACTGCCACATTCAAATGTGGAGCAATGTCTTGCCATGAAATGGTTTGTTTTGATTTTTTTTTAATAACAACTACAACAACTGAACTCCTTTGGTTCCGCTCAAAGGAGTTGGTAGAGTGTGGCTCTCTTATTTAAGAAAGCGCTGTGATTCTGAAATCTGCAATTCTTGGGTGTGCAGATCGGATAAAGATTCAGCAGTTAACACATGATCCCTCAGTCAGTGTGGGAGGTCAAGGAGAGTTACTGCAAGAGTAAAATCAGAGAGAGATAACTAAGAGGGTGCATTTGTTCTTGAGGCCAGTGGTGGGTTGCTACCAGTTCGCCCTGGATCTGGCAAACCGGTAGCGGCGGCGGCAGAAGGCTCCGCCCACCTGCCTAGACGTCTCTGGTACTGGTAGTGACCAAAATTGAAAGCCACAACTGCTTGAGGCTACATGTAAGGCCCATACATATTAGTAGCACGCTACATAGTTTGGGTGGTAGACCTGTGCTTTTTTGATTTTTGCAAGATTCCATTTTTCCTTGGAATTAGATTGGTCATTTGATGATTTTACAAAGATATACATGAAGAGGGGGAAATATTCACAGACATTGAGGTCTCCTGAATGCTCCCTCATGTCTTCCAGGCTGTTTCTCAAAAGTATAGGAAACGACCAAAGAAGGGTGGGTTGTGACTCATAAAGAAGTTCCAATCTTCCAGTGAACCTGAAAGTTACCCCATCTCTGAACTCATGATTTCCTCCCTGGTGTATTTTGAAGGGAAAACATCATGGCTTCTCTTCTCAGAATATTGTCTGATGGCTGACTATAGTCAGGCTACACAATTCAATTGTCCATGCCATGTGATTGCTTAAATGGCTCTAAGTTATTTCATGCTGTTATTTGTTATTCTAGTGCCATTGGCACTAGAAAATAGTTTTAAAGGGGATGTGGGATAGGTTTTCTAGAAAAAAAAATGTCCTATGAAAAATTGTGGTAAGTTGCTATGGTTTATTTTGCCACCCATTGGAAACCCATTTACTACTCAAAGACATTCTGATGTCCTTGAGTAGCCTTCCAGAACTTTGATCCCCACTCCCTCCCAAGCTGGAAGAGAACTTTTGGGAGCTGAAGAATACATATTTGGATATCACCCCAGTTGGAGTAAACAATCTTATTATCTCACTTATTCTAAGAGCAAATTTCTGCAAAGGTAGGAAGTTGGGCTACATGGTCTCTAAGATATCTTCTAGCCCTTTTATTCTGTGAATTTGAGTTTGGTGTTCAAAAACTGCAGGTAGTCCTTGGCGTACGACCACAATGGAGCCCAAAATTTATATTGTTAAGTGAGACATGTCTTAAGTAAGTTTTGCCTCATTTTATGACCTTTCTTGCCACAATTGTTAAGTGAATCACTGTGATTGATAAGTTAGTAACCCAGTTGTTAAGCGAATCTGGTTTCCCTATTGACTTTGCTTGTCAGAAGGTCGCAAAAAGGGATCATGTACCTTGGGACACAGCAATGGTCATAAGTATGAACTAGTTGCCAAGCATCTGAATTTTGATCAGGTGACCATGGGGATGCTACAAAGGTCGTAAGTGTGAAAAATGGTCAAAAGTCACTTTTTTTTAGTGCCATTGTAACTTTGAATGGTCACTATATGAACTGTGGTAAGTCGAGGAGTACTTATAATTTAAAAGACTGTTGCTGTCTGAGTGGTGGGTAAGAGGCTCATTTACTAACCCTGAAATCTTCTTCCTTTCCATTTTAAGATTGCAGGGATCGTTGGCAGAGCAGACCTCTTGTGTGCCCTATTTTTTCTGTTATCTTTTCTTGGCTACTGCAAGGCGTTTAAAGAGAGTAAGTACTTTCCTCCTGAATGTTTTTGGGTAGGCTATGCCATTTGACGAAAAGCATGAACAGAATACCTGAGTTTGAAAACTAGGGAATGGTTTCTTTTCAGAAATCAGCATGTCCAAAGTGTCACTTTGTCTATCTCAGGGGTGTGAAACTCAAGGCCTGCAGTCCAGATCTGGCCCACGGGATGCTTAAATATGGCTTGTGCAGTCGCTATGGAAACAACGAAGGACCAGCCTGTGGTGCGACTGCCAGCAAAAACGGAGCTTGGGTGGTACACGCAGCCCCCCCTGAGCTCCGCTTTTGCTGGCAGAGGGCTGCAGGAAGCCATTGCAGTTGAAAACAAAGCCTGGGGGATGGCGTGTGTGACCCCTCGACCTCTGCTTTTGCTGGCAGAGGGTGGTTGAAAATGCCGCCCCCCCCCCAAGCTCCGTTTTCACTGGCAGAGCGCTCAGGCCACCATAGACACCCCCAACACTAGTGACATCAAGCTGGCCATGCCTACCCTGGTCACGCCCACTCCAATCCCCAAGGTGAAACACAACCCTGATGCAGCCCTCAATAAAATCGAGTTTAACACCCTTGGTCTATCTCATCTTCATTCCCAACTCACCTGCAAATGAGTTAACAGTATTTTAATCAGTAGTACCCTTAATTTTTCAATGACAGATTGGAAAAATCTTGGAAATTGGGCAACAAAGAGCCAAAATAAATTTGCACTATTATGCATAGAAATTATATCTGATTTTTTAGAACTTCTGTAATTAAAACATTTCCTTGGTTTGGAGAAAGCTTCCATTTTGTTTTGTTTTCACCTCTGAGTCAATTTAAACTCCTTGTAATTGTTACATTGCCATCTTTTGAGCAGGCTCATGGAAATATTTTACCATTTCTTTCTTGTGGAGCTTTCTTTTTTTAATTTCCAGTCTAGCATACAGCCCTGGAATGTCAACAGATGTTAACCAGATCGCTTAGTTTCCAAACAGACAAAACCAACCACTTCTCCATGCTGATACTGTTTTAAAGAAGCTAATTAACTCCAGGAATACTGTGTGGACATGCCTTTAGATTGGGGTCCAATTTTAGCAATTTTAAGACTTGTGGACTTAATTCCCCATGATGGCTGGGATATTCTGGGAGTTGAAGTCCACAAGTCATAAAGTTGCCAAGATTGGACACCCCTGCTTTGGACTTCCATATATATCATCAGTAGCATGCATTTTATGTACCCATATATTGTATGGTGTACATATGATATTGTGTATAAATATTTGGTTAAGATGTCTTAGACTTCTTTGATCGAAAGGTCGGCAGTTCAGTGGTTCGAATCCCTAGTACCGCATAATGGGGTGAGCTCCCGTTACTTGTCCCAGCTTCTGTCAACCTAGCAGTTCGAAAGCACGGAAAAAATGCAAGTAGAAAAATAGGGATGACCTTTGGTGGGAAGGTAACAGCATCCCGGGCGCCTTTGGCATTTAGTCATGCCAGCCACATGACCACAGAGACGTCTTCGGACAGTGCTGGCTCTTTGGCTTTGAAACGGAGATGAGCACCGCCCCCTAGAGTTGGGAATGACTAACACATATGTTTACCTTTTACCTTATCCTGTGTTTTCTGACTCATCTCCTTGCCTAGAAAATAAATGTTGGGTTCAGACTTGATGCTAGGAGAGACAGGAATCCCCAGGGTCAAACTCAAGGCACAGGGGCCAAATCCAGCCCACAGAGTGCTTAGATCTCGCCCTAGAAACAGCAAAGAGCGGCCCGCAGTGCCTCTGCCAGCGAAAATGGAGCTGGGGAGGGCCCGCGCATGGCCCTCCTGAGCTCCATATTCACTGATAGAAGGCAGCAGGAGGCCATCGCAGCTGAGAGCACTCGGGCCAGGAGAGCCCTCGGGCCACCACAGATGCCCCCGACATGAGTGACGTCAAGCTGGCCACGCCCACCCTGGCCTCCAAGGTCAAACACAACCCTGATGAGGCTCTCAACAAAATCGAGTGACACCCCTGCCCTAGGGTGTTTGCTACTTCTTTTATTATTCGGGGGAAGGAGGGCCATCCAGTCTCTTCTGTCCAGTTTTTAACACGGCAATTAGACTTCAGCTGTAGTTAGTACTAATGCTTAAGCCAGACCAAACCAGCCTTTGATGTCTTCCTCAGCCTCTTTCCCTCACCTGTGCAAACAAAAGACAAAGCCAGCAGCGTTTTAAACACTGATGCTAGCACAGGAAGCTGTGACTGTGATAGCTCCCTCTAGCAATCAAAAATAATGCTGCCCTTTCCCCCCACACACACCTTTTTCAAACAGAGGGAAGAAACTACTTGCTTCAGTTTTGTGGTTCCAAAGGGGGGAAAAAAGGATGCAGCATTATTTTCATCAGGAGGAGCTAGGCTACCCAAACTTCCAATCTATAGTGCTTGCTAATGATGAAGAAAATAGCTGCAGGGTTTTCTTTCATTCTTTTTTCATTGTTGTTATCACATGGCCCAAATGGTAACATCTTAAAACAACATATTATTATAAAAATGACACAGGGGTGAAATGCTACCGGTTTGCACCAGTTTGGGCAAACCGGTAGTAAAAAAATGCTACCGGTTCCTCCAAACCGGTATTTCCGACGATCAGCTGTGCCACACGATTTATATCGATTTATAAATCGATATAATATTCGCTATTTATATTCGCTAGAAATATAGCTATTTATATTCTCTAGAAAGCAGGAAATCCTGCTTTCTAGCAAAGCTGTTCCCCACCATCGCTCTTCTACTTCCTTCTTAAGCCTTCTTTTTCCATGTAAAGCACGCGTTTCGTGTGTACTGTATGTACTGTGCATACGCGTGCAGTATGCATTTGGTGTGCACTGCATGCATGCAGCATGCATTTGGTGTGCATTGTGCATGCGCGTGAGCAGCGTGCATTTGGTGCACATGTGCAGCATGTGTTTGGTGCACACCACGCATCCGTGGGTAGCGAACCGGTGGCAAACCGCAGACGATTTCACCACTGAAATGACATTAAAATGGAATGAAAAATCGAAGTGATACATGAATGATCACATTTTTTTACCATGATCCTTAACACACTGGTAAAGATCAGATTGGTCCTCGTGTGATCCTCTCTTTCTGGTTACCTTATTGTCAAGCCAGGAAGATTTTAAAACAATGATTTAAAAAGATTTTAAAAAATGATTTTAAACAAAATCTAATTCTTTTTAAAAAACAACAAATACAATACAGGTAGTCCTCAATTTACAATCACACTTAAGACCAGAATTTATGTTGTTAAACAAAGATGGTTGTTCAATGAGTCTCACCCAATTTTATGACCTTTTTGTCCTGATTATTAAGCAAATCGATGGAATCGTTAAGTGAATTGGGGGGGTCGTGATGAGAATTCAGCAAATGGGGACGCTGCAACTGTCATAAAGACATGCCAGTTGCCAAGCATCTTAATTTTTTGATCATGTGACTGGGGATGCTGCAACACTTGTAAGTCACTTTTTTCATGGCAGTTGTAGCTTTGAATGGTTGCTATGTGGATGGTTGTAAATTGAGGACTACCTGTTTTGAAGTCTATTTAGGCTGCAAGTTAGTGACGTTCAACATAGTAAGAAGCTTCAGGTATGGATGTTCAGCCGAACTTGCAATCTAAATACAGGTAGTCCTCGACATTCAACACTTCATTTAGCGACCGTTCAAAGCAGGGGTGAAATGTAAAATTTGTTACTACCAGTTCTGTGGGCGTGGCTGGGTGGGTAATGTGACTGGGTGGGCGTGGCCAACTTTTTTTTTTTTTAACTTTTCAAAGTATTTTTTCTGCAAATGCAAAAAAATGCTTTGAAAAGCCTCTGCCGATCAGGCAACACAGCTGGGATCATCAGAGCCTTTTCAAAGCATTTTTTAAACCAACTCTTCCGCTGAAGAGGTTGCAGAAAAAAATGCTTTAAAAGTTTCTCTGATGATCCCAGCTGAGTTGCCTGATCATCAGAGCTTTTCAAAGCATTTTTTTAAAAGCCTCTCTGACGATACCAGCTGAGTTGTCTGATCATCAGATATTTTTTTAAAAGCCTAACTGACAATCAGACAACTCAGCTGGGATTGTCAAAGAGGCTTTTTAAAAAATGCTTTGAAAAGTCTCTCTGACGATCAGGCAACTCAGCTGGGATCGTCAGAGAAACTTTTAAAGCATTTTTTTCTGCAACCTCTTCAGCGGAAGAGGTGGTTAAAAAAATGCTTTGAAAAGGCTCTGACAATCCCAGCTGTGTTGCCTGATCGGCAGAGGCTTTTCAAAGCATTTTTTAACCACCTTTTCAGCGGAAGGGGTTGCAGAAAAAAATGCTTTAAAAGTTTCTCTGACGATCCCAGCTTCAGAGGCTTTTTTTTTTTACTTTTAAAAGCATTTTTTCGGCGGAAGAATTTGTAGAAAAAATGCTTTTAAAAGTAAAAAAAAAAAAAAAAAGCCTCTGATGATCGTGCGGCTCAGCTAGGCATGATGGACGGGGGAGGGAAACCCGCAGGGATTTTTGCTACTGGTTCTTCGAACCACCTGCCGCCATCGCTACCGGATCGGGGGATCCGGTCCGAACCAGGAGCGTTTCACCCCTGGTTCAAAGCTACAACGGCACTGAAAAAAGTGACCTAGGACTTTTTTTCACACTTACAATACCCCATAGTCACGGGATCAAAATTCAAATGCTTGGCAACTGACTCATATTTATGATGGTTGCAATGTCCCGGGGTCATGTGATCACCTTTTGTGACCTTCCTGAGAGCAAAGTCAATGGGGAAACCAGATTCATTTAATAACTGTGTTACTAACTTAACAACTGCAATGATTCGCTTAACAATAGTGGCACAAAAGGTCACAAAATGGGGTAAAATTCACTTAAAAAATGTTTCATTTAGCTACAAAAAAAGTGTGGGTTCAATTAGGGTTGTATGGGGAGGACTACCTGTAGGCCTCTGTCTCAGGACAACTTCATTGAAACTTAAAGTGAATGTATAAATTTCACAATCTTACAGTATGAATATAATCAAATTATATAAGCTAGATTCTCTTCTATAAAATGACAGAAGCACTTGTGGGCATTGTATCTTTTGGAACAGGAATCAAAATGCTTGCTGCAAATCTTTGGCATACATTAAGCTTGTGACCATCTGCTGAGGGTGGCAGAATGCCTTCCCACAATATGGTGTACCAGTTTAAACTAGGTTCAGGTGCCAACCACAAATGAGTTCCATTCTCTGACAGTAGATCATGGTGGGAGAAACAGCATAGTTGTAGAATGTGTGCTTCATTAAACTGATTAACACACTTGGCATGTGTGTATCTTTGGAGTCATAATTGGCACTTTTTTTTTGTTGCTTTACTTTTTCGAAAATTGAGATGCAAAAGCTACGTTTATTGTTTTGAGTGCTGCAACATATATCTTGGTTTTTATAGAATACCCTCGCAATGAAAATATTACAGGTTATTGGATTGGATTATGACTGATATCGATTGATTTAAAAAGCAAAATGTCTTCAGTCTTAGCCATAAGGGCATCCGGGTTCTGTGATAGCGTGGAGCAGGCAGGCAGGTCCTAGGAGCAAAGATCTGAAAAAAGAAATGCTTGTATTTCTCATGAATTGCTCTCTGAAAGTACATCTATTTTGCATGAGCTAAAAGGGTTAGGGCCAGTGGTGGGTTCTAACCGGCTTTACTACCGGTTCTCTTCGTGCACATGCTTCACGCGTGATCGCCTCTTCGTGCAAGCGCGTTACGAATCTGCCCAGCTGAGGTGTGGCAATCCACTCTGCCTCATCTATCAGCTGGGCTAAGAAAGAAGAAATAAAAGGTAGGAATAACACGGGGGCGGGCAGGAGGGCCCAGCTCCCGGACAAAGAGAACCAGTTCGGTGATGTCATATTGTCACCACGAACCGGGCCGAACTGGGAGAAACCCACCACTGGTTAGGGCAATGGAATTATCTAGACCTTACATCTATTGAGGTCCAACATATTGGTTTAGGATCAATGTATTCTCACTTTCTTTCTTTCTTACTTATTAAGATGGTGGTAAGTGAAGATAGTTCAAGTGGATTTGCTTAGGAAGGCAGTTCAGAATTTAGAAATCCATTCCGCAGAAGTAGCCAAGTCAGGGACAATGGCTGTTTTTAAAAGAAATTTTAAATTTTAGAAGGAGCCAACATCATGTCTACTTGGGTCCAGAATATTAAGCACATGATGAGAAAACCATGTCCTTTAGACATCTGTAATGGTGCATTGAGTGTACAAAACTAAGAAAACATCTTTATTTTTTTATTTTTCTATCTTTTTAAATAAATCATAGAAAGATCAAAAGATAACAAAGGCTTAATAAAGATGCACATACACTCTCAAAGAAAATAAAAAAAACACATTGAAAGTGCTTTTTAAAACACTTGAAAAATACAAAGAAAAAAAAAACGTTTTAACAGTAAATAATTACAACTATATATGTTGAGTTATATTTTGCAATCACAAATAACTTGAGTTAAAGATCTGTATAGACCAGGGGTATCAAACTCACAGCATCACGTTGTCGTCATGTGATGTATTGCAACTTTTTCCCCTTTCGTTAAATGGGTTGGGCGTGGTCAGCGCATGACGCATCCACTTCGCGGGTCGTGAGTTTGACACCTCTGGTATAGACTGTCATTTTTCTCTCTTTTGTCTTTTCTTTTAAAATTGATAGATAAAGAAGGATCCCAGTTCTCCATCGGTTGGGTTTTGCTGAGTGTTCTCCTTGGCACTATGGCGATGCTGTGCAAAGAACAAGGCGTTACAATATTGGTAATTTTAACATTTCTTGGCAACTCAATTCAGTGGTAACTAGAGTGTTATACACAAAGAGGCATTTTCTGTATTTCCACATTACTCAGGATTTCTTACAATTTCAGCAGCTTTCTTTCGCTCTGAACATTTTTGAAAGATGCATTGCTGCTTCCCCTTATTCATTATTATCCTTGCTGTCATGAGTAACCAGACACTGCACTAAACCATAATTTGATTTAATCATGGTTTGGCTATATTGACAAGGATTTGGGTTTTCTGGAAAATTGTGGACATTTTCAAATGCAAATTAATATGATTCAAAAAAGTGCATTCATCTCATGATCTGTACTTGGGTTACATGATTTGAGGTAGAGAAAAAAACGTAAGCCTATTTTATGAGATTTGAATAGTGCATGTCAAAAAATGTAAAAGCTTTGATATGTAGAGAAAAATGTTTTTTCTTAGGATGTTGAACATTAAATTATAAAACAAACTTGCATTGCTGGGAAATATATCTCTATACCTGTATCTCTACTATCCATATTAGTATGCTGTAATATAAATAATGATTTATAAGTCACAAATGACTGAATTCATCTATCAGTTTTATATATGTGTGTGTGTATTAATCTTCCATTATTTAATATTTTCTAATAATGCCAGGATCAATTTCCAGATTGATCCAAAATTCAGAATCAACAATTTACTGGTTAATCCAAGGCATTCGCATTTTGCTGTAGTTCAGATTATGGATTTATTGTATATTTTAATCAATTTAAAATAGCAACTCTATGCAGCTAAGACAGAGTTTAAAAAGCACACAATATAAAATAACAATATAATAAACACATAATGGCAACTGAGCACAATACCAATCCACAGTATATCAGCATCACCTCATGGGCTCAACTAACCTCCTGACCCCCATTGCTAAATAATGATTTACTAATGATGAAGTTATAGACTTTTGAAGAGAGTGAAGGCTTTTTATGTGACAGCAGTCAGGTCTTTTATATTATCTGCAGATTTGGGAAATTGTCATTTGTTTATCCAAATTTAGATTAAACTAGGATGAAACTCTTTTGCTAACTGATTGAAATAGACTACACTTGCGCAGGTCCACTTGTGTGGAACTGGTGTTTCTTCCAAAGTAAAATTATAAACAAAAGTATGTTTGGAATTTGTTAAATGCTTCAAAACAAATGTATAAGATGATTTTCCTGAAAAATGGGGAATATTCCCATATTATTTAGCAGAGCTAAGAGTGTTTAGAGTTTAACTGGATTATCAGATATGTTGCGAGCCCTTAATACTGGATAAAAGAGATTCTTCCTCAATATCAGTTTCAATTTGCTACACAAGTTGTAGATTTTTATTTACGACTTTCTCTTTTATGTTCAACATCTCATATAATTAAGACTACAGTTCTCTCTGTGTCATCTAAAAGCAAGTCCCAGTAAAATAAACAGGACATTGCTGATTATAGATACGTAGATGGGTTGGACTTCTTTTGAACAACTTTATACTGCTGAGAATAAGGCTGCATATTTACCAAATGCTAAACGCCACTGAATAAAGTTGATTTTATTTTTGGATAAACTTGCGCACACAGACATACAAGCATACAAATAATTTATATAACATACTTTATATTATTTTGGAGAATGTTTACCAAAAAAGTTTACCAGAAAAATACTTAATAAGCGTACTGTGAAATATTCATAGATAGGAAATACTGTCTATTTCAAAAGTTCCATTCTTTGTCCAGATTTTCTTTTTACCCCCAGCTTTATATTTTCTCATACACACACACACATACACACACACACGTTATTTCTCTCTTTCTTACTTGGTTTTCTGTATTTTTAGGGTTTAAATGCTCTGTTTGATGCTGTCGTGATCAACAGGCTCAATATTTTGGAAGTTGTTTTGAAGATACTTCATAAGGATAAGTCAGTAGAGGTAAGTCCCCTTCATTTTTAGATTGAATAAGATATTGTGTGATACAGATAGTCCTTGAGTTATGACCATAATGGACATAACTGCCCATTAGGGTTAGAAGTCAGGACAATGCTTCCCGCGCCTTGGTGGCTTGTATGCTAGCATACAAGTGATTGCCTTGCCAGCAAGAAGCTATGGGGAAGAAAAACATTGGACACACCTGCCTTTCTGTAAGCGATGACCAGGCCAAGCCCAAGAGAGGGGTCAAGCATGACATTAGTGTCAAGTCCCTTTGCACCCATAAGCAATTTTAAGTCTAGCCCATCTTGAATTCTGTTGACTCTCATCTCTTGCCATTTGCTTCCTTTGTTAATAGTTTATATTTTGGTAGAGAATGTTAGCATGTGATAAATCTCAATCTCTCTCTCTGTCTCTCTCTCCTCTCCTCCCCTCCCTTCTTCCCCCCCTCCCAAAAAGCCATCAGGTTAAAACTAGGCTATTACAAAATGCTGTTAAGTAACTGAGTTACTTAAATCTCTTGCCTATCCTAATCTTGCTGTTAACATATGGTTTCCATTTATTTCAGTGGAATTTACCTCCAAATAAAATGATAGTTAGAATCAGAATGTTAAAATTAGGAATAGAATGCATACACCAATGCCCAAAATAGATTTCTTTGGATATTTCATTATAGCTGAGAAGTTTCTGCAAGTAATGATATTAAAGGTACCTGTTCAGTTAGGTAAGGCATATAATGCAAGGAGCATGGTTTTCCATAAATGTGCACATAGATTGGATATAAAGGTTCTCAATTGAAATCCAAAACTTCTGGAAAGTAACAGTAGAGGAAGTCAGCGTAGGAGAGATTTCTCTGCAAAAATCACTCTGATTGCTCCTGTGGAAGTCATCAAATAGGTTTGTTTGTTTGTTTTCATCAAATTTCTACATTGCCATCTCACTTAAGTGACTTGTATTCTCACCAAGAGATCTGACAGCACTGCATATTTTATTTTACCTCACACTTCAATCATATTGTATGACCAATAGGGGGTAAGTTTAATAAACAGTAAAAAAAAATTAAACATTATATATGGCTGAATGTTTTTAAAAAGCACCAAATTAAGTATCATATCAAAGCTTTAATGTGACATCTGTCCACAGCTTTTAAAACCTGACTGTTAACTGTAACATTGGCTTTCTTCCTTGTTTAATTTGTTGTTTTCTCAGTTATCAAACACAGTGAATAGTAGTATCATATAACTGCCAGATGTCATAAAGAATTGCATATCATCTAACAAATTCAAAATATTATAGAATGCTATTAATGTCAAATACTAAACACCATTAATATTCTCTGTCAACTAAAATAAAAAAATTAAATACCATTCCAGGCTACTGCTGAATTCTGTTACATGACAGCTATAAATATTTTTAATATCTATCAAAAAGATATACTTTTTTTCAAACTATGAACAGTTAAAGCAATGGCAATGCTATTATTATGAACAGTTAAAGCAATGGCAATGCTATGTAGAGTTTGTATACATTCACATTGACGTATTTGAAATAAATGTATTGACGCATGTAGAAGATAATGTTAAATAATTTTTTAAAAAACCTTTAGCAAGCTAACAAATATTTCCACCAATTTCCTTCCAAAAGTCTTCTCTGTTGATTTCAGTGAAAGTGGAAGTTTTTATTTCGTTGTTAAGCTTGTGAAATAGCTAAGCATTGAAATTTATAGAATTATTTCTGAAGTTTCCCTATTGTGGTCAGTACTATAAAACAGAATGCTTGTTTTTAATGACATTTTATACTATCCAGCAATCAAGCCAGTGCATAAATGTACAGATCAATAAAATCAAATGACACCAACATAAATTCAACCAGCAGTAACACCTACATGGATCTGTCTACAATGAGAAATTGTATTTCAATATCTTTTATGGCAAAGTATATCATGATAGATGCTTTCCAAACTTCGTTATTCTTATACAGCTATGGAATTTAATTTGGGCCATGATCCAAACCATTTATGCCTCTAGCTTTCTGGAAAGCACTTAAACCATGGTTTGTCCAAAAACCTTGGGGATCCCATGGGGAGCGTGCAAGATGGCTATATTATATGTTCAGATGGTTGTTATTATATCTTTGATACTGACAGGCTCAAAGTTGACTCAGCCTTCCATCCTTCCGAGTTCAGTAAAATGAGGACTCAGATTGTTGGGGGAAATATGCTGACATTTGTAAACTGCTCAGAGGGCTGTAAAGCACTGTGAAGCAGTATATAAATCTAAGTGCTATTGCTATTCTCCCACAGTCTTGGTTGTTTTAATGGCTGTTTTTAATGAGAGCGTTAACTTTTCCTATTCTTATCCAATCTGTGCATACTTACCTGCTCTGTTTCTATTTTTAAGAGTAAAAAGCAGTTAATAACTTAGATTTCTTTTTTTTTTTAATAATTACTATTTCCCTTTCCTTCATAGAGCCTAGTGGTGTTTAGAAAAGGACTTCTTTTCAGAATTACTCTTTTGTTATCTGGAGGAGCCACTGTTCTATATGCCCGCTGGCAAATTATGGGCACAGGGCCTCCAGCATTTACAGAAGTGGATAACCCAGCTTCATTTGCAACCAGTCCGTTTGTAAGGGTAAGCTGGAAAATATGAGGTTTTGCCGACATCAATGATTGTTCATAAGATCAGACAGCGGCACAGTGAACGTGCTGTATAAATTGAGTTCCCTGTTCAGTTCCATCCATGCCGATAATAGTTTGGGGAAAAATATTTCTACCGGAGGTCTTGGAAATGGTTGCTGATCAAAACAGACAGTAATGAGGCTTGGTGGATCAGGATGTGGTTGTATGAGTTCATATCAGGGCCAACAGGGAGGAAGGGTTAGAATCAAAGAAATGAAAACGGAGGTGACCTCCCCCAGATTGAAGCTGTGCCTCTTTTAATAACATATACACAAGAGGCTTGGCTCCAGTTGTGTGGTCACTACAGCCATCTTGAATTTTAAACTTTCCATGGTGGCCTGTGATTCATATGTGCATTATTTCCTAACCTTCCAAGGAAGTGAAATCATCTTGACCTGCTAGGTGATTCTGTTCACACTGAGAGATAACATTATGTTACTTACATTTCACTAGCTGGTTGAGTCTCTGTGAAGTCTCTTTGGTTCGATTTGGTTTAAAATAGCTGAAGATGTTTCCTCGAAATTCAGATTCATTATTGAAATGTTGATTCCCTTCCCTGTTTTTGATATTCCCACGAGCTGATATATATATATATATACATATATTTTTCCCTTTCATTGACAGGCTGTAAATTATAATTACTACTATTCTCTGAATGCTTGGCTGCTGCTGTGTCCCTGGTGGCTGTGTTTTGATTGGTCAATGGGCTGCGTGCCCCTTATTAAATCAGTCAGTGACTGGAGAATAATTGCTCTGGTGCTTCTTTGGCTGTGCCTGATTGTGCTAGCATGCCAAGCTTTGGGTTCGAAAGATGGCCAGAAAAGAAGGTAAATTTGGGTCAACATGTTGATAAGACATTATTGCATGACATCTAGCACTACTCTTCTTTGGGGAATTAGTGGAATCAATATCATTTAGCAAATACAGTGCCAATAAATATTTATAGCAGTACTTTCCTAATTTGGGCCAATCTTCATTTCTACTGGCCATGGGGAGGAAAACTTGAAGGGGAAAGTGATTGCTTTGTCTTCCTCGTGAGAGGACATTTTGAGCTCCTTAACTCTGTAGGAGATAAAAAATAATAATTTATGCTCAAAATAACGTATAATTGATCTGTGATGTTTTTCAACATTGTTTCTCTGGCAAAAAAAATAAGAGGCTAAAAAAAGAACTACTGACATTGGCTGTTTAAATGTAATTTTGCCCCAGGATGATTACTCTTTTGTTGGTAAGCAGATCCAGGGAAAATAATGGGAAAACATCATGTCATTTTTAACAAATGAAAGTTGCTTGACAGAATTGAATTGTTAAATGATTTCTGTAAAAGTATTAAGGTACACTTCTGTGCTGATTAGATAATCAGTAATTATTCTTCAATTGCTTTAATTGACAAAAGGGACTGGGGTTCAAATTAGACATTTTTCTGTGAACACTTACTTTGTTTGAGATTGCAATTTTAAAAAAAACAAGAATTATTTTAACAGTTCTTGAACGGTTCATTATGTGCATTATTGTATAGTTCCATAGCTTGCAAGGAAAGAGTGTCCTGATAATGCAAATGAATGAAAGAAAGGGAAGTGGGGGAATTTGCTGGGAAGAAATTGAAAACTTTCCTTCTATGATTTTTTTTTTTTTTGAGATTATTTATGGTACACTGTGAGTCCCATTTAAAGCCAGTCACCTTGTCCCTATGCCAAACCTCCACTACTCCATCCCACATTGTTTAGGAGAGATACATTTCTACAGAAGGTTTTTCAATAGACAGTTGAAAAGACCGGGAGATCAGAGAATAAATATGTAGTTTATTTATCTTAACATCCATCCACATACATGCACCCTTTCTGTTCTGCAGATTTTTACTCTAAACACCTTAGATTTTTTTCTTTACTATATTACGCTTGGGTGTTTACATTTTCCTTGATACTGATATTTTTCTCAGCCATCAAAATGTTTTGTTCTGGATATGCAGTATGTTCCTGGATGATATCTAAGACTGGTCTTTAATATCCTCAAAACATTAAAAGGAAATAGCTGGATTTAGGCCTTTGATCTGTTTTGCCTATGCATTGATATAGGAGAAAAAAACCAAACAGAGAGCCACGGTCCATGATAAAAAAGAATATTAAAAAAGACCTTGTAATAAATTAAATAACAGTCATCCTGTACAGCTCTTCTACAGAGATAATAATTTCTTCAAAATAAAGAGGATAGTTTTGATCTTCACCTTGCATAGTTAGAATTATTAGATTGAATCATTTCTTTCTAAATGGTTTGTAATCCTTTAATACAAATCTTGGAAGTTAAGGACTGTGCTGAGAAGCCTATATGATTATTTCCCCATGATGACTTTTTCTGGGGAATGGAAACTTAGGCAAATGGCAACATGTGTTTAGTGGCATAATGACACAAAGCTTGTTCTTAGGAACTGATGTCCTTAAGTTTGAGAGTAGTACATTAGTTGTGGCATGTTTTGTCATCACTTGCTCCCTAACTTCCCCCTGTGGACCCATATGGAAAGAATGAAAAAGGACATCAAAAATCCATGATGTTACTGAATCCACACAGAAGGACAGGGGATAGCAGAGCTCCCTGGCAAAGTAGGGCTGGATTCTTAGGTATGTCATTCCAAATCTAAATTGAATTTCTTGCATCATATATATATTGTAGTAAGAGTTTTATTCCGTGTTGTAAAATCATTTTTTTCCCCTCTGCATTTCAGAATCCTTACCCTGGGATTGGGATTTCTCATCATTCCTTTTCTACCTGCAAGTAACCTATTTTTTAGAGTTGGGTTTGTTATTGCCGAGAGGGTCACCTATCTTCCCAGTATTGGTTACTGCATATTGATTACATATGGATTTTGTCTGTTGTGTAAACAAGCTAAGAATAAGGTACAAAGAACATTATCCTAACGGTTGGCAAAAAAAAAAAATGGAAAAGAGATTTAAAAGCTGAGATATGTGTCCTAATATGTTTTCTTCTTTCTCAAGAAATTTTTGGTTGCTGCTCTGCTGGGCCTCTTACTGATAAATATGTGGCGTTGCATCATCCGTAGTAACCAATGGAGATCGGAGGAGCAGCTTTTTAGAAGTGCTTTGTCTGTCTGTCCACTGAATGCCAAAGTAAGCATTTGCGTTTTCTAAAAATAATAATTCTATTGTTCGATTACAGCAAATAATTATCATTCCTGGTATTTATCTTCTTGCCCAATCATTTTAGGATTGTTCTCTATTATATCAGCAGTTTTAGTAACTAAAATATCATCTGAACATTTCCTATTGATATGTCTTAGTTCAATTGTTTTCTGAATACATTTTTATTATTTCATTTCCTAATTGGAAAACAGGATCCTAGGGAGAAAAAGGTCACATTAAAACCGTTTTTATAACAAGTGAGCAATGTTTCAAGTTTCTGTTTAGTGATATGGTTTCTGTGTTAGTGATAGCTGATAAGAATAGTTATCGTATGTCTTGAATAGGAAAACAAGAACATCTTCATTGTGTGTTTTAGAGAAGGTCTCACACCCAATTTTATTGGTTGGATACAGGCACACTAATTAACACAGTCTTGATTTCTGAAATGCCATGGGCATCTTGCCTGAATTAAAGCTTTGCTTTCAGGCCTTAAATTATTTTTGCTGCTCTATCACTAGAATGAATTTGAATATTGTTGATGTTTGACTGTGGTAAAAAAATGATGAGGATTACATGATCTTTTGTAATGCAGTGGTGTGTAGCACACAGTCACAAGCTGCATAGCATTTTTTAAGGGTAATAAATCCAGTGAACAAGTGGCTTTGGGGCATACATATCCCTTATTGTGTAGACCAGGGGTCAGCAACCTGCAGCTCTGGAGCCACATGCAGCTCTTTGGGCCCTCTGCTGTGGCTCCCTGTCGGGTGATCCCACCACTGGCTGCCCCCACCTTCACTCTCCCCTCCCAGTCACTTCTTGCCTGGCCTGAGGAGATAAGGGTGATGGCAGGGGATGGAGAAGCAGCCAGGGCAGAGACAGAGATACAGAGAGAGGGGGAGAGAGAGGGGGGAGGGAGGGGAGAGAGAGAGATGTCAAAAGGGTTTTGTGGTTCCCGGTGTTTTTTAACAACTGGTTCTCTGCCCTAATGACCAGCTGGGTAGACGTGGCTAGGGGGTCATGTGACTCGTAGAAGTGAGTGACATTGAGTTGGCCACGCCCACCCAGGTCTTGTGGCTCCCGATGTTTTGTTTTCTGTGGGAAATGGGTCCAAATGGCTCTTTGAGTGCTTAAGGTTGCAGACCCCTGATGTAGACCAACAACTTCAAATGCTTTTATACACTTTTCAATCTGGATGTTCTGTTCATAGGAAGGGTCCATGAATAAATTATACTACTTTACTTCTAAGCTTAACAATTCTTAAGCTAGTATCCTCAGGAGTGAACTGGTGTTGAATATTTTGTTTACTTACGAACACAAGATGGTTGCAGATAATTCAGAAATTGCGTTATTTGTGCAGAAATGGTGCTTCAGAAATTGGGCCAATCCCTGATTTTCTGCATTATTAAAAGCAACTGGATGCTGTTAATAAAGCTGTTAATAATATATTGTATTCACTGGGCACAGATGTTACATGATCTTCATCCTATTCTCATTTCAGTTACTTATGTCTAAAATGTGAGCAGCGGAACTATTGTTATTCCAATTTAAGTCTTCCTCTAGAACAGTGATGGCTAACCTTTTCTGGACCGAGTACCCAAAGTGCGTGCGCACATGCAAGCGCCCAAAATGCAATGCACGCACAGGCTCTGTCCATGCACCCCACCCTCTGCACATATGCGCGTGCCCCCCTTCACGCGCCCTGCCCCGGTGCATGCGTGTGCAGCCCCCCACGCGCCCTGCCCATGAATATACATGGCAGAGACCCAAAGACCAGCTGGCCGGCAGGAGGCACGCGCGCATGCGCAGCAGAACTGAACTGAGGCAATGGCTCACATGCCATCAGAGAAGGCACTGCGTGCCCTCTCTGGCAGACATGCCATAGGTTCGCCATCAAAAGGCAGGTTAATGAGAGAAAATCTGGAATATAAGCTTCAATATGAAGAAAACGTGATATTGTAAATCAAAATAGAAAAAAAGTCTTTTAGTTCTATAAAGAGCTAGTATTCTGCTTAGATTGTTACATCCAACAATAAATGTTGCCATTAGTGTTCTGTAGGGATAAGGGATTATATTAGTAATTATAATAAATATTTATAGTAAATGGCATTGGTGTTTTAATATTTCCTGAAGCAGGGGACCCATTTTCAATTTAATTTGGAGTACAGTTCCCACCACGACAAAATGTGAAAATATATTGACTGTATAATCATATTCTAACACACAGCTGAACTTAGTCTTTTAACATTTTTGTTGCGGGAAGCAATCCATTGTAGTCACAGAACTTGTATATGTAAATCCTAATTTTGTTTTCTTAATTACAAAGGTTGTAATTCTTAGATTTAATTTTGAAATCATAATATTTATTTGAGATTGACTACATGAGAAATGCAATTATAAAACAAACTGAAAATATAATAAATTTAAATCTGACATAAACATCACAGCCAATTGTCAATATCAGCATCAATTTGATTTTCATTTGGGAATTACTTGGCTTAGATGCGTCATTAAAATGCAATCTTAATCGTCACTTTCTGAATAGCGTTTCCATTATCAAAGAACAGGTTCCGTAATCAAACCAATTAAACATTGAGAATATTTTTTTTCATTCTCCAACAATTGCAGCATGGATATCTGATAGAAAAATATCTTTGGGCTTTCAAATAAGCTAGAATTCTTCAGAATCTTGATTAGCTTGGAAACTAGGATGCATACAGTTGTAGCATTTCTCCTGGAGTTGTCCACCCGGTGTTCATGAATGTTTTGATAAGGATATGGCCATTGAAAGTGGTGGTGATGAGGATAAGTTCTGAGTCCTATTAAGTATTCCTGATATATGGATGGTGATCAGAGCCTTTACATTTAAAGCTAAGAGCTCTTTCAATATTCTGTCGCTTTTTTTTCCCCCTCCACCTCTTGTTTTATCAAGGATAATTACCGTATTTTTCTGAGTATAAGACGCACCTACCTTTTTTGGTGAGGAAAAGAAGAAAAAGAAATCTCCCTCTGCCTCTGAGCAATTTTGCCTCCTTGCAGCAAACAGCCTGCTTTACTTTCATTTTCATTTTCAGCATAGCTTGATTAGCACAAGGAGAAAAAAAAAATCTGCTCCAGCAATTTACCTCTTTGCAGCAAGCAGCAGAGCCTTGCCCAAAACAGCTGAGAGCAAATCAGCTGAGAGTCGGGAGGCCGATCCAATCAACTTGTGCTAATTAGGCTGTGCTGAAGCTGAAAGAAGCTGTTTTTTCTTGCGGTTTGCTTGCAAGGAGGTAACTGCTGGGAGGCAGAGGCCAAAGGGTGGGGGCCAGTGGGTGGGCGGGGCTACATTTAATGTATAAGATGCACCTAAATTTTCACCCCGTTTCAGGGGGGGAAAGGTGTGTCTGATACTCCGAAAAATATGGTACATCTGTTTCTTACATAATCATCTGTTTTTTCGATAGTTATACGAAGCATCATGTTAAAATACATGAATAAAAAATACACATCTATTTAAATTGTTATAATCGTCCAGATCAAATTTCTATAAACCAAAAGTCATATTCATTGAAAGGAAATCACTGTCTAGAATGATATGGTTCTGACCTTTACTTTCAGGTCCATTATAATGTTGGCAAAAACTTGGCTGATAATGGCAATCAAAGCGCTGCAATCAGCTACTACAGAGAGGCTGTAAGGTATGGATGATTTGGAGTATGTCTGTTTTTTAATTGTTGGTTTGCAGAAAGCAGATACAGGGTAAGAACCTGACCAGATCCAGAAAGATCATCAGCTGTGATAATAGAATATTGAGGATGTATTAAGTAAATACATTCTAAGCCGTGTTTGTTTTAACTATGCGTTGTTGAATGAACCATTGTAATTTAGTACAGACTTAATGCTAAACAATATACCTCGTTACAGTGGCTGGGATTTCATAGTGCATTTATTAAACTACCATGTTTCCCCCAAAATAAGACCCTGTCTTATATTTTTTTGAACCCCAAAATAAGTGCTTGGCTTTATTTTCAGGGAGGTCTTATTATTTTGGGGCACGTGGAGGAAACCAGAGGAAATGGCAGGGACCGGCTGTGCATGCCTTTAAATATTTTCGGGGAGGACTTATTTTCAGGGGGGGGCTTATTTTAGTGCATGCGCTCAAAAGCCCGATTGGGCTTATTATCAGGGGATGTCTTATTTTAGGGAAAACAGGGTAGCTAATAAACAAAAAAATGAAAAAAATAAATATATAATAAAAAATAATAAAAGTGGCTTAACAGAATTTGGAAACTAACTCAGTGATTTAAAAATATTGGTGAATGTGGTCCAGGAAAAATATTTTATGAAACATCAATTGTATTAACTGGATAAAACTACATATCTGTAAAATTTGAAGACAAATTTGAATGTTGGCAACACATCTTATTACTAGAATGTGTACTACCACATGGATGGCAGATTGCAGGGCAGTTGTGTGCTGGAAATGACATAAAGATTCAGAATTATTGTAAACAGCGTAGAAAATGTTGGTTCTCTTTTGTTTTGCCATTACAAAATTGAGTTATGGACACATGAAATAAATTAGTTGCCTTTTAAAAAAAAATCAAATAATAAGGAAATTTATTTCCAGACTTTTATTAATGGTGAAGCTATGTTTTCTGGTATTGTTCTTAATACAGGTTGTCCTCAACTTATGACTACAATCGGGGCCAGAATTTCTCTCGCTAAGCAAGGCGCTTGTTAAATCAGTCAGGCCTGATTTTACAACCTTTTTTACCTCAGATGTTAGGTGAATCATTGCAGTTGTTAAACGAATCAGGCTTCCCCCATTTACTTTGTCAGAAGCCAGTAGGGAAAGTTACAAATGACTCTGGGACTCTGCAACCATCATAAATGATGCGATTGTCAAGCTCTTAAATTTTGATCACGTGACCATGGGGATGCTGAGAGGGTCATAAGTACAATGACTAGTTTGCAACTTTAAAGGCTCCTAAATGAATAGTGGTAAGTCAAGGACTATCTGTACAGTGATTAGCGAACAATAAAGCATTGATGAGATGAAAGCTAGGCTACAACAATGCATGTACATAGAAACAATTGCATTTGATGCTCATTTTGGAGGCTTTTCCTTCCTCTATCTTGTTTTGTTTTGATTTGGGGTGGAGGTATTCAGTAGTCCAGTCCTGAGTGGGATGGTGAGGACAGTTTAATACATGCTTGAGGGTGTTATTACATGCCTACATCTGTCTTCAATTGATATAAAAATGACAGGGGAAGAGAAGAATTGTGGCTGTGTAGACAAATAAAATTAGGAGAACTGGCTCCTTTGACTGAATAATTCTTGTATTTGTTTTTGTCTTTTCAATCCCAGATTGAATCCTAAATACGTACATGCTATGAACAACTTGGGAAATATCTTGAAAGAAAAAAATGAACTTCATGAAGCTGAAGAACTTCTCTCACTAGCTGTTCAAATACAGTATGTTTTAAATGCCAAAATCTAGCTGTGGGTCACCAACAAATTGTGGTATTATCTGGATCTTTTCTTAGTTAATCTTCTGAAATATACTGTGTGATGCAGTTATGTGTAAAGTGTTTCATTAGAGGAAATTCTAGAACATTCCTTCTCTGGATTACACAAATATGTCTTTTTCAGGATGTTTTTCATAAATGGTTTATGGTGTATATACATGGTCTAGACTCCAAAAGTCTGGTTGAGATAAGAGAAGATTCCAAAATTTCCCAGAACATTCCTTGTTTGGAATGAAGTATTTTGCCTATCTCTAGAGTAAATTTGGCCTTGAAGGGTGTGCAAATAGTGCCACTACTACAAAATGGAGCTATATTAATTCTTGTCATATACTTTGGGGACCAGTGCCATTAGCTACTAGTTTGCTTCTTTGGCATAAGGAAGATTTAGACTGAAGGCACCTGAAGGATATCACCTCTGTATTCAGATGCCCTTCTTTAATTCCCACCAAGAGAATTTAGCTTAATTCAGAACATAGAACAAGGATTCTCTGAGCTTGATGTTAGTCAAAAGGCCGAGTAGCAATGAGAATAAAGATTCTCTGTAGTGATTTCTGGATTATAGAACATGTTTCCTTTCGCTTTAGTTGTAGGGTAATTCTATTCGGCCTGGCTTTAAGTGCATTGTCTCTATTTTTTGTATTTAAATTATTCTTCCCACCACCCCCTTGTCCTTAATGTATTATGTTATTACATTATTGTTTTGTTTTTTAAAAAATACTTAAATTGCTTTACAGTTTTAAATTCAGATTGCATTTTTAATTTTATAAATAAGTAAGGGGCATCAAAACTCTACTTGTACTTAATATGCTAAAATGTTCACAACTCTCTTTGCCTAGGCCTGATTTTGCAGCAGCATGGATGAATTTAGGGATAGTGCAGAATAGCTTAAGAAGGTATGAAGAAGCAGAGGAAAGCTACTGGACTGCAATTAGACACAGGAAAAAATACCCAGATTGTTACTATAATCTAGGACGCTTAGTAAGTGTACTTATTTATCTTTCTGCTAATGATCCTAGATCAGCCTTTCTCAACTTTAGCAAGTTTTAGTTGTCTGATCATCAACTCCTAGAATTCCCCAGCAAGCAAAACCTTGAAGTTGAAGTCCACACATCTTAAAGTTGCCATGGTTGAGAAATACTGTCCTAGATACGTAAGATGCAGTGAGTTTTGAATGTTGATCAGTTGCTTATTAGAGAGTACCTTCTTGGACTTTGAACTTGTTTAGAAAGATTCTTTAGGTTCTTTCACACACTGAAGTTGCAGTCTAAATTTTAATAGAAGTGAATTATAATATAGGATTGCATCAGAATAAATATAAACCAAACCTCACATTGAATCTTCTAGTGTCCCAGAAATGCTCAAGTAAAGACTCTTGTTTAGGAACTAAATGTTTCTTGTACTGTATATACAAGAATATACAATATGTAAAACTATATATTAAAGTGGTAAAAATTAGCACCACACACTGTGTCCTATATCAGGGGGCCCCAACCCCTGGTCCATGGACCGGCACTGGTCTGCGGCATGCCAGAAACTGGGCCACGCAAACAAGCGAAGCCCCATCCGCACGATGCAGGCAGCATGCAAAACCACGTCCCTTCATGTCCGTGGAAAAACCTCTCTCCACAGAACCAGTCACTGGTGCCCAAAAGATTGGGGGCCTCTGACCTATATAATTACTGAAGTACAGGTAGTCCTTGACTTACCACAGTTCATTTAGTAACCATTCAAAGTTACAATGACATTGAAAAATGTAGACTTATGACCATTTTTCAGTTACAACCTTTGCAGCATCCCCTTGGTCACATGATCAAAATTCAGATGCTTTGCACGTGGTTCATATTTATGATGGTTGAAGTATCCTGGAGACACATGATCAGCTTTTGTGACTTTCTGACGGGCAAAGTCATTGGAGAAGCCAGATTCACTTAACAACCAGGTTATTAACTTACCAGGGATTCACCTTTGTAGCATCCCTATGATCATGTGGTCAAAATTCAGATGCTTGGCAATTGGTTCATACTTATGACCGTTACTGCGTCCCACGGTCATGTGAATACCTTTTGCAACCTTTCGACAAGCAAAATAATAGGGAAGACAGATTCACTTAACAACTATGTTATTAGCTTATCAATTGCAATGATTCATTTAACGATTATGGCAAGAAAGCTGTAAAATGGAGCAAAACCCACTTAACAAATATCTCACTTAACAACAGAAATTTTGGATTCAATTGTGGTCATAAGTCAAGGACTGCCTGTAATTGAACAATCTAAAAGTCTAGGGGAAAATGGAGAAAAGGGCTAGAGGAGAGTATTAATTGAACAATAGTAGGGATAAACGCTCTTTAATAAAATTAGTAATGAATTAGCAGATAACCACTGCTAATTTTCTCCCAACTGCTGTTCTTGGCAGTCTTTTGGAGGGAGGGGTCAACCCTCCCCTATTATCCCTCACCAAATTGGGGTGAGAAGTAATTTTATTTCTTAATAAAAGAAATGTACCATCATGCCAAAAATCAGCACCAACTAGGGATTGGTGATGCCTTGTGAATGCCACAGTTTGGGATGTTATGCCAATACAAGATCTCTCTTGCTACACAAAACTCAAATTCTCCCCAGAGCTGAAAATGTGGGTTCCACCCTCTCCAGAAGTCTCCTGGGAACTTCTTGGCTTACAAAAAGTATACTTGAGGTTGTGGATTATATGGATAGATCATCCGTGTCCTAGTCTTAAACCTACCTTGATATTCCAGACAGTAACTAGATAAATGTAAATAATAGGTAAATGTTGCTCAGCCAAGCACTTCTTATTATTCTGGTGATTTTTCTTTGTGGTTTTGTTTGTTTGTTTGTTTTCCTTGCTTGTTTGCTTTGCATTCCAACATGTAAGACAACTAGATTATATCAATTGGAAAAGCCAATCACTTTCTTCAATCAATAAACACTAATCTTCCTTCTAAAATAAGAAAAGCACAGAATGTTGGGCTGTTTGAATGTTTAAATCAGAATATGCAGCCTTTCTGATTTAAGCATGAGGGAGGTCCTTTGGGACATTTTCCCAGTCTCCGTGCTTTTGGAGGGCGCAGAAGCACTGACCCACAAAATATGGGCACTACCCTGGAAAGAGGGAGCGTCTTAAAAAAATTGCAGACGGGGCTCTGTGAGATCCTGTGTACCGTGTTTCCCTGAAAATAAGACCCTGTCTTATATTTTTTTGAACCCTGTAATAAGCGCTTGGACTTATTGCCATGCACTCAAAAGCCTGATTGGGCTTATTATCAGGGTATGTCTTATTTTGGGGAAACAGGGTACTCTGAAGCCCTTCTTAATGGTCAAACCCAAAGAAGAACACAGCCCCAAAGCATACAAACGGGGGACTTTTTTAAGCAGAAGTTCTGTAGAGAATTGGGCAAATGTTCGGAAAATATACAAACTCCTCTATCCGATACACAATTATGTGCAATTCTTAGCGTATTTTTTTTTTCCACATTTGGCCTTTATAAAAACACTTTTCTGGAATTATAGCTATTCACATTGCAGAGTTATTTGGTGTGCAGAGACTCTCATACAGTGGGACCTGAGCAAGGGTTATTTTCCTTGGCTTGTTATCTCACGGCCAATTGTGTTACTTTCAGTATGCCGATCTAAATCGCCACATAGATGCATTGAATGCCTGGAGAAACGCTACAGTGTTGAAACCACAACATAGTTTGGCTTGGAACAACATGATTATATTGCTTGACAATACAGGTACAATCTGCTTTTTTTCCCAGAGTATTTTTTTTTCTGCATCTTGTTTAGATCTTCAGCCCATTGTTTTGTGCTACATGATTTGGGGGCTTTAGTTCTAAAATAGGAATTAGAATGTCACCAATCCAAGATTTTACAGCTACTGTAAAACATCTCTCACAATCTGTAGGTAAACTTGCCAATGTGCCAGAAGTGTGTCCTTAGAGATCAGTTTTCCATCAATGTCTTGTGTTCCAAAATACTTTTGCAAGTAATGATTCAGTAGTTGGGGGCAAATCTCAGAATTAAACAAGAAATAAATTTATCATTACATTCTAGTGTTTGGAATCATTAACAGATACAGAGGTTTCGGGCAACCATCTTTTGAAAAGACTCACAGTGTATTGTGTCAGTTTTATTTCATGATGGATTGGATCTTTCAGTATCAAATTAATTGATTAAGAGTCCTAATTTCAGGAGTGAAATGCTCCCGGTTCAGACCAGATCACCCGATCTGGTAGCGATGGCGGTGGGTGGTTCAGAGAACCAGTAGCAAAAATCCCTGCCCCCACCCATGCCCAGCTGAGCTGCGCGATCATTAGAGGCTTTTTTTTTTTTACTTTTAAAAGTAAAGGCCAAAGAGGTTGTAGAAAAAATGCTTTTAAAAGTAAAAAAAAAAAAAATGGCCACGCCCACAGTCACATTACCCCACCACCACCAAGCCACGCCCACAGAACCGGTAGTAACAAATTTTGCATTTCATCACTGCCTTATTTGATTAGCTTCAAACAAAATTCAATGAAAAAGGAGAAAGAATCATCCTAGTAGCTGTCAGTTTATAACTGACTAGAAAATCTTTCATTCTGCTGGTGGTTCCCTCTGTTCTTTTTCTCCAACAGCCTTCAGGATGCTCACAAAACCTTTTATTTCATGTTGGTGTTCTTCAGTTTATTTCTGTGTTTGATACCAAGATTTCTTAATCTGATTATATTCACATTCTAATCATGAACTTGTTTTAAATGCATTTTGGCTACTGCATAGTGGCCAAACATTTATTTTATATTTTACATCTAGAAAAAAATGCCATACAAATTTTAATGCTCTTCACTTGCAATTCATTTTTTATTATTTGATTTGTTCTTAATTGTTTTCTTTAAGGAAAATAGCTAAGCATCTTCTTTTGATTAAAAATAGTTATTCACCCTCATTCCATCTCATTCTCTCCTTTAATTTGTTCCTAGGGAACTTGGCACAAGCAGAAACCGTTGGAAGGGAAGCTTTGGAGTTAATACCAAATGATCATTCTCTTATGTTTTCGCTGGCAAATGTACTGGGGAAATCACAGAAATATAAGGTAAAGTGTTTTTCTAACCACAATTTGTAGATAGATAACTCCTACAAATATTATTTCTCAATGATTCGGGGATTAAGTATGTCCTCAGAAATGTGACTCAGTGAAAAGATTGGCAGTGAATTTAAGTTGGAAGCCAACACAGCAAAATAGGTTTTTTTAAAAATCACAGGGGAAAGATATCTTAAGAGAAAATGTACCGGTAAGTCCTATCCAAATTACCAGGTCAATTTCATTTTTTTCAATCTGACTAAACTGAAGCACTATTTTTTTTTATTTAGGAGATAGATAGAAATATACATGAGTCTCTTCTAGAAAAATCCAAAATCCAGATACAAATATGTCTCGGTTATTACAATTAATTATTACATGCAAGAAGCTCAAACCATAAATATAGAAAAAACTATTTTGTTCCTCAACAAATTTTTGAACTTGATGCTAATTTTTAGATAGTCTTTTGTAATAAAAGTAGCATCAGTTTCAAAAATTGAAATACAGAATAGTTTTTTCTTCCTACTTTATGATAAAAACATTTTAAACAATGTAGGTTGTATGTGGTTACAGTTCTCTTGAACTTACCTATTAAATAATCCCTTTCTTTTAACAAAACAAAATTGACTTAAATATAGTCTTTAAAGCCTTAAGGATGTCATCCATGAAGGATCTGTAAGCTTTATAGAAATCATTTTGAAAAATGAATCATGACAATGCCTACTGTTTTCAATTGTTCAAGCTAAGGTGGTTATTTTCAGCCACAAGTGAAAATGGAAAATTGGGAAGAATTATGAACAGATATGAAACAAAAGTTTGTTAGAGAAATAGTGAACATTCTTTTGCCAATCTAGAAATCCTTTTAGGTTAGAGTTGTTGACTCTGGGTGGGGTGGGGAGGAGATTTTCCTATAAAAATACTTTGCTATAGTTTACAAGTGAACTATGCGAATGTACCTCAAATACAAATACTATAATGTCGTTAGAAGTAACTAAATGCAAAAATCCACATGAAAGGCAGGATTTGATACCTGTTTTCTGCACCTAGAGATGGTCTAGACTTTTGCAGCTTAGATCTGATAATCTTAGATTCATACCATCAATTTTCTTAAGACTAAATTTGTTTGAATGTATGTGTTGGTTTTAAGTAGTGATTTGTACGAGCCTTTGGTTTTTAATGCAGCCCACAAGTGTTTTTGTGTTCTTACCAACACTAAAGTAATTACTGTCTAATTGACAGCAACTACCAACCAACAGCTGGATTGGCCTGTGAATTATATTGTCCGTATCTCCATTAGAGAGAAGTGGAAGTGTGAATGCATGTGGAAAAAAAAATAGGGTGACATAATCACATTAATAGACCATAGAGCATGAGGTAATTGGGAGTGTTTGGTTGCACTTGACATTGTAGGCACTACAAAAATAGCTTGTCCTGTTGATCTCTTTTTCTGAATTATTCAGGAATCTGAAGCTTTGTTCCACAAGGCAATTAAAGCCAATCCAACTGCTGCGAGTTACCATGGCAATTTGGGTAAGACGTTTTATAGCTCCCCTGGTGCAAACTTTTTTTTTAAAAAAAAAAAAATCAGACACTGGTTGAATTTTTTTTTCCCCCCACATTCAGTGTCTTGCAGGCATTCTTCTGCTAGCTAGATTTCTCGTCCGCCTGCTTGCTAAACGAATTGCCAACGAGATACTGGAGTTCTTAGAGCGGGTTTCCAATAGTGTCAAGTCGATCACATTGTATGCCAGACCAACCAGGCAGGCTGCCGGCTGCAATCCAGAGGTGGTGCATGTCAGCGGTGGCAAATTGGTTCGCCCTGTGCTTGCAAATCACAATGAGCTCTCCTGATAAAAATAGCCATTTATGGCTCTAGCACAATCTACTCTTGTCATTCCTTGGCCTGCGTGGCTCCAAGCATGTCTGCTCCAGCTGGCTACAGAGCAGCCTGCCACTGTGCCGACAGCCAACCAAATGTTTTAATGTTTTCTAAGTAATTGGCAAGATTGTCTGTTCGTCAACAACGCTGCTGCTAACAAAAAAAAACCACTTTGCTGTTTCAGCTGTGCTGTACCATCGCTGGGGAAATTTCGACCTAGCCAAGAAACACTATGAAGTCTCTCTGAAGCTTGACCCCACAGCAGCTGGGACCAGGGAAAACTACAGTCTTTTAAAAAAGAAACTGGACCAACTGCAAAAAAAAAGGGTGACGCCGGAGGTTTCTTCTCAGGCTTTGAGTGCAGATTTCATATAACGTGGCTACAGATCACCAGGGAGAAGACTACAGAACACAACAACATGGGCCGTGCAGGAAGTTTCTTGAAATTTCTAGCATTAGAATTTCAAAGGGGAAAAAAAGGCTCTAGTTTAGAACATTTCAATTAGAGAATTAAAAGGGCTTTCTTCTCCTTTTCGGGGTTGTTGGGGTTTTTTGGGGGGGGGGGTTGAACCAGTGATGAAACCTGATGAATATTTATACTGATGTTCAATCATTTGCACTGGTAGAGTCCACGTTAAAATGAAGAGTTGGAGATAGCCTTCAGCAAAGCATATGAATGGAGAACTGTCCCCAGTTTCAGAAATGGAAGTGGATGGTAACTGTTTTGCTTTCAGTAGGAATCCCAGTGCAATCCTGGTATAGGTAGCCTTTGACCTACGACTACAATTGGGACTGTAATTTTAGTCCCGAAAGAGATGTGGTTATTAAGCGAGACATCCCGTGATTGGATCCGAGTTTACAACCATTTTATCATGGACATTAAGCAAATTACAAAGCCATTGAGCAAACCTGGATCCCCCAATTTATTTGGCTTGTGGGAAGCCAGCTGGGAAGTTGCAGATTGCTAACATGTGATTGCAAGATAATGCAACTCATCAATGCGCACCAGTTGCCCATAGCCCAAATTGCAATCACATGACTGCAGAGGTTGTATGATGGTCCTAACTTGGAGGGCAGGTTGTAAGAAAGGTTTTTTGAGGTTGTCATAACTTCGAACTGTCATGAAACAGACAATTGTAAATCAAAGACTACCTGTATGCAATATGACCTTGTAATAAGGACAACACTTTGAGCAGGGAAAATTGATTTGTACATTGATGAAGAGATGATTTGCTTTGAAGTTGCTTTCATCTGGCCAGGTTTTAATTGCTGTCCATGTGCTGTAAATAAACCTGCTGAAAATGAGATATAGCAGGTCGAGATTTGTCTACTGCAAGAATTCTTTGAATTCATAGTGCTCCTAGGTACAGGTATTTGTTATCAAATAAGTTAGTCAGTGTTTGATTGGGATACAAAGGAAGGCTTGCTATTTTGAAGTTGTAAAATTGTGTGTGGGGTGTCTGTGCCTGGAAGGTTGCATAAATTATTTCAACACGTCAGCTGGGAATCGATCATTACGACTGAAGACAAAGGGGCTTTTTTCTCTGGGTTTGATACATTGGTGCCTCTTTTTGTGGTCCTACGAACAGCTTAAATCCATACAATTTCTTGATGTTTCTTCATTTCCTTTTGGTGAGTTATAGAGATGCCAAAAACATACGGCAAGGACACCTGTTAATATTATATCTAACTTTGTTGAGTAATTTAAGGATCGGGAAATAGTTTGTTCTTCTCTGTCCATATTTATTCTTGGTGGAGTCTGTATTTTTCTGTGCTGAAGAGAAATCTAGAATCTAGTATTCTAGAATCTTAGTCCCTAGTTTCAGCTTCTTCTAAAAGAAGGACCACTATGGAAAAAGGAGTTTTAAAGCCTCATGACTTCTGTATTAGAGGTTCCACACACTTTATTAAAAAAATTCAAACAAATAGATTCTATTCAGCATTGCACTGTTTTAGCCATCATGGACTTTTTTTAGATATTAATATTCCATCAGACAAGGTAATTATAGAGCAGAGTTCCTCAATCCCTGGTTTGTGGACTGGCACCGGGCTACGGCCTACCAGGAACCGAGCTGGGCAAGCAAGCAAAGCCTCATCTTTGCACATGCAGAATCCAAGTAGCGTGTGAAACCATGCCCCTCCCCAATCTGCAGAAAAACCGCCCTCCACAGAAACGGTCCTTGGCACCTGAAAGGTTCTGGGGCCACTGTTATAGAGAATATTTTAAATATCTAGAAAGTCCACCTGCCATATTCATTTCATTATAAAGTAATAGGAATTGGGAGCTAAGATTCCGGAACAAAGTAAATGTGTTCCATATTTATTTTTCATTTTCCATGCTGCCTTTCTTCCTGCTGATATGTATATCTCCAGACAGTTGTTACATCAGATTCATGCTCATTCAATAATAAGAGTAATTCTCTGGGAATAGAAACCTCTGTATTTGGCAATGCATCTAGCTTGATGCAATTTTGAGAGTACTATAATATTGTAATTTTGTTTTTTCAGCTTTAAATATGTTCAGGTCCTCTCGTTTATTTTACCTTATATGAGCAGATTCAAGATAGAGATATAATCATTTCTGAAGTACTTGCATATGTTAAGTGACAACTGTGTTTGTTCAAATTATGTTCCCATATACAGTTCAGTTTACCTATTTATGTACAAGTACTAAGGGTCTCTTGGCATTCAAAAGTCTATTGTTTTATTTTATTTTATTTTTAAAAGAATGATGTAGATATCAATCTTCTCAGAAAAAATATCTGATTGGATAATAGAAATCAATGTCAGAGGCTGTAAAAGGTTTATGATATTCAAAAAAACCCATTTGGCTAGTGAGTTTTTCCTGACCTACATTGTTTTAATAAGGCTTCAATTACAAACTCTTGTAGATTTTAAAATACTCCTAGCATTTGATAATAATTTATGGCAAAATTGAGTTTGTTTGATCATAAGTAGCATAATTTATTTTGTTAAGGGAACACAGAGGCACGTTTCAAGATTTTATAACCATGCTCCAAAATGAGAAAGAAATTCTACTCTTATATAAAGCTACATTAACAGAATCTTGCAAGTCTCAAAGTACCATTTTCCCAGCATCTCCTTTACAGCCCAAAAAATTAAGGTATCGTCTGAACATCTTCCCTGCTCACTTTTCAGCTGTGAACGATGCTGTCTCTTATCTGATTATTCCTTAGGCAGCATTTCTTGATCATTTCTTCCGAGGTCTTTCCCACATACCATTATACATTTAGAGGATCACTTGATTATGAATAAACTTGACTTTGGCGATAATATTTATACAGATAATATAGATATATGATCATGCTCTTTAAAAGAATAAATCAAGAGAACCATAGGAATCATTATAGAACAATTGTCATGAAAGCTATCTGTTTTTTCTATATAATGGTTATTTCCTTTTAATTTCTCCTCTTTCCAACTGTCTCTTTCTCCTCTGTAATGTCTTCTCTTCACATTCTTTCAGCATACGTAAATCTAATCCTTTCAGGGGTGAAATCCAGCCAGGTTCTGGAGAACCGGTAGCGGAAAATTTGAGTAGTTCGGAGAACCAGCAAATACCACCTCTGGCTGGCCCCAGAGTGGGGTGGAAATGGAGATTTTGCAATATCCTTCCCCCAGGAATGAGGAGGGAATGGGGATTTTGCAGTATCCTTCCACTGGAGTGGGGTGGGAATGGAGATTTTTCAGTATCCTTCTCCTGGAGTAGGGTGAGAATGTAGATTTTGCAATACCTTTCCCCTGCCACGCCCACCAAGCCATGGCCACAGAACTGGTAGTAAAAAAAATTGGATTTCACACTGAACCCTTTATTAGCTTTTTGAACTGAAATCAAATAAGCTAGTACTATATTTATCATATCAATAATAATTGTATATTACGCTGGCTATTACTGATCGAATTGGACAAAATATTTCCAGTTTGAGTAGAAATGGCCTCAAAATACTTCCTACCTTCAAAGTGGAAGCAGTTGTTTTGAATTCACACAAGCTGTTCCAACTTCGTTAGAAATTTTTTAAGTCCCATTTGAAGCTCAGAATATCTGGCCCAAATTTGAAATACTTTCCTATAGGGTCCAGACAGCCCATGTCAAAGTCAGAACAAATATTTTAAACACAAAGCAGAGAATTCCAAATTTAAAATTATTTCTAATCTGAGACATTTTGCACAACCCTAATTGCTGATCATGCATCATTGTTTTGCATTATGTCTTCTGAATTAGAAAATCAAGACATTATAATGTGAAGTTTATTTTAAATTTGTGGGTTTTAATTTTTTTTTATATTTTACTCTGTTTATATTAACAAAAATATATTTTTCTTTTTTTAAAAAATCACCCAATTAGTTAAATTACTGTCCCAAATCATTTAGAATTCTTGTAAATCCTTTTAGAAGTTCCTTGTAGAAGTTTACATACATAAAAATCTTGAATTCGGTATGTTTGAAATTATAGGTCTTTGCAGAATCTAATTTCAACCAGCACAATAGGATAAAATTGGTTCCATGTGTTGTGTGAGACGAGGCAGTTGGGTTAATCCAAACCATGATTCAGTTAACCAGCATTACATGTGATACAACTCAGATCAAGAATAAACCAGCAGGGAGCTGGATCAGCGGTTAATTCCCTTTCTAATGTAGTTGTAAAATGCATGTGGTTACAAACATATTGGGTACTCAGAGTGACATTTTTAATATGTGCTTGTTAGTTTGCATGTGTACATATGGGTTTTTCGATGAGATGTAAACTATTTTCCTTTTGAAAATGATAAGTACTAAAACTAATAATTTATTTTGAAGCTATTTGAATAGCATTTTAAAACACTATAAAAATACATTACACCTCATAAGATCTACATGATGGGTTAAGATTAAAGGTTAGGTTTTCTCCTTAAGTTTCCTAAACCTAGTATAGCAAGAAAAGCATTTGGATGACTTGCCCAGGTTATTCACTAATAGTTCATGATTATCACAGGTGTTGGGCACATCGTTCCACAATGGAATATTCACGTGTCATTATTTGCTTCTGATAACACACCCAAGAGTCTTGTGGCTGTGTGGTAAAAATTCCAGCAGATACAAGGAACCCGAATCTTTCCGACTTGGTCTACAGAAACATCAGGAGAAAGGATTTTTTTTAAAAAAAATCAAGATGGTCTCTGCCTGGCTGAAACCCTGTCTTTTTTGGTTGGGGGTTGCATGTGTGACACCTATCCTCTTGACCTACTGATACTCCTTTCCCCTAGAGAGGGCTCTGTTTTTCTATACAGTTTATCTTCTTAGAGGTGGTTACTTCCGGGTGCAAAACATTAATTTTGACATACTTGTTAGTGAGCGCTTATTAACTTTTCTGGGACAGATATGAAACTGTGCCAGACTACTTGTTTATGTCTTTGCCCACGGCAGCATAGAACATTTTGTAAGTGATCTGGTGCAGGGGTGGGTTCTACTTTCCTTTACTACTGGTTTGCAGCGGGGCTGCGTGTGCGTGCGAAGCAAGCATGCACGCGTGCTCCTCTGCGCAAGCGCAGAAGCGATGTCCACCAACCGACATTGGGGTCGGTTGGTGGAGCCTCCCACCGGTTTTACTACTGGTTCTATAGAACCAGTGCGAACCGGGGGCAACCCACCACTGATCTGGTGTCAAATTTGTGAGAGATTTACACCTTGTTTTTTAATTATTGCCTGGCAATATCAGTGGGATTTAGAGTAGAAAGAAGTACATATTATGCACTAGATGTTTAAAAAAATCTTAAAAGGGGATGATTGATGGAGAGAAGGCAATAGGGAGGATAGGAACATTTAATCAGTTATCTTTCTGCACAAAAACTGTCCATATGTCAAGCTGCTTTGATTGGCAAATTAACAAATCAACCTGATGATTTAGAAGGCAATTAATAAGCCTCTTTCAAACCTTCCTTCAGACTTCTATATTCCGTATAGTAAGGCACTCAAAGTAATGCCTTATTCGTTTGAGTCAGTTGCCAAGCGTCTGAACTTGAACTGATCAAGAGGAACAATAAGTACTAAAAACAAGTACTGAGTAAACCACGTGACCTATTCTATGATTCTTTATTTCGGCCAGAAGTAGCAAGTCATGAGGCAGCCGACACTAGCAAGTCATTTCGCATTGATTACCGGGAGAAAAACAAACACCAAGACAAAATTTTCACTTCAAAACATATTGAGTACCAAATTTTATGAGTTTTAAAGCAGCCGAGTACCAAGATATGACTGTATTAAATTGGATTGTAAGAATTGTAGCTGTTTGCTGTAAATATTAACAATTTTGTAAGTATGGATTTTGCATAGGAGAATTCATGGGATTTCTGTGTGTATTAGAACACATAGAATTATCTACGGTTAATTTGGTGATACGTTCAATGTTTGTTTGTCTATGATACGTTGCAAGTTTATTCAGGGAGGACTTGTTAAACTGTAATAAAAAATTAGTAATACAATGCAAGAAGCCTCTAAAAGTAGTGTCTTACTTGGATGGATTGATGGATGTCTTAATGGAAGTCCTTCAGTGCTAATAATTACAATATTGGTGCTGCATGTGATTTTGCAGGTTTGCATCTGAGCAAGTCTTAAATTTCAAATCAGTATCTCCCACAGTGTGAAACAGACTTCTGCTCAAATGTGTAGATAATGAATTCCTAGCTGTATATGGGTTGTTTTTCACTTACAATCACTCACTTAGCGAACCATTCAAAGTTATGACAGACCCTCCCCCCCCAAAAGGTACTTACCACACATGGTTCTGAAGTTCTGACAGTTTTGCTTAAAGACCATGGTGATTTGCTGAGTGATTTGCCACAAGAACTCCCCTTTTACGACTCTCATCTCTTAAGTAATTCGGGGTAAAGTCAGGATGACTGGATGAAGCTGAATGTTTACTGGCCGGATGCCCTTCCTGATGCCACGTTTAGTTCGCGGAGATATTTTTTTCTTTATGCCCGGGGAAAGAGAAATATCTGCCACTACCTGGGATTGAATTCTCAACCTTGCAAACGGGAGGCAATTAGCTTCACCGCTAGGCCACCACACCTCTCTTGTGACTGCCACAAGAAAAGGTAATAAAATTGAATTGGTCACATGGGTCACCCACTTAATGACTGTCACAGCTTACAAGTGTAGTGGACAGGCTCCATTACTGTTGTAAGTCGAGGACTACTTGTATCCTGTAGTTTCATCCAGGAACTCAAAGCATGCACATTGTATTCCTTTACAGTATGCAAGCTTCCCAATGTACACATTTACAAACTTTCTATAGAGCAGATTTCAATGTTTCGGACTTTATGGACTGGCGGAGGGACTGGAGGGAAGGGATCATTCGCCTAAGCGAACTGGCAAGTTAAGCCTAAGCTTAACAAAATTAAATTTAAATTAAATTAAATTAAATTAAATTTAAATTGAAGCAAGTTAAACCTAAGCGGCTGGCAAGCACGCCCGCAGCTCCGTTTGCCTGAGCAGCGTGTGCGTGCACCTTCCACCCATACAAATGGAGCATACACACTCCCCTGCTACTTGCAAAAGTGAGGATGCGCATGTGTGCGCACTTGCCAACTGTTTCCATGGCCCAGTTGCAAACCCCTCATGGCCCACTAGTTGGGGACTCCTGCTTTACACTATCACCTAGAGAGCTTCCGTAGCTGAACTAAATCTTCCCAGTGCTAGTTCGTACCAATAGACCAGTTCCTGGATCAAGAATATCTAGACAGGCTGCAATGTTCAACATTTCTATGAATATTATTTCTGCAAACAAATGGCTTATGTAAGAAAAGATTTGGTGGTGCAGTGGACTAAACTGCTGTTAAAGTAGCACTTAGCTGCCAGCTGCCTGCAATTACTGTGAGTTCAATTCTCACCAGGCTCAAGGTTGACTCAGCCTTCCATCCTTCCGAGGTAGGTAAAATGGGGACCTGGTTTGTGGGGGCAATAAGCTGACTTTGTATAAAATAGAACACCGCTTGGGGGGGTGGGCAAAAAGCCCTACTAAGCAGGTATATGAAATATGAAGGCTATTGCTTAATGCATTGTAAGCCGCCCTGAGTCTCCGGAGAAGGGCGGCATATAAATTGAATAAATAAATAAATAAATCGAATAGATAGATAGATAGATAGATAGATAGATAGATAGATAGATAGATAGATAGATAGGACTACCTTATTTAGAGAAGCAGAGGCTTTCCAGCTCAGTGGTGTCACTATGGATTACAACTGCATCCTGGATTTCAGGCAGGATTTTTTCCTAGCTCCCAGATACACTTGCATGAAATTCAAATATTTAACAAAGTGTGTTCAACAAAGCTTCTCTACACTGTGAGTGCATCTTTCCCTTTAGGGTGAAAGCAATGATTGCTGTCATTGAATGTATTAAGTCAACAGAAGGCAGAGACATACCGTGGCCACCATAAGAGAGAAACCCGTTCATAAAATGGCTGCTACAGTGAGCTTGGCTAGTATTTATCAAAAGCTAAACCAGCCTCCCAACATGCTTTCTATCATCTCAGTGAGACCACGGCATTCCTACAAATAAATTTGATAGAATCTTTTTTTAAAGCTAGTTTGCCAGTTTCCTATTTCCATATCCAGTGTTAGCACTACAGGACACTTTATGAAAATGTTCCTACGTCTGCACAGTTTCTCTACAGCTGGAGTATTACTCTTTCATTGTTATGTGTTTGAAAGAAATAGGAAGCCCCAGTGCAGTTTAAATTGTCAATTCTTAAATTTATTCATGAAAGGATCAGGGTTGCTGGTGAAAGCGTCAGCAGTTGTATCAATTGCAGTGACACAAGGGGAATAGATCTTGCCAGCATAGCCACACAAAAAAAATATTCCTCTTCAGTCTTTGTCACCCTTAGACAATAGCTGTCCTCACTGTCCCTGGCAATGAGGTTGCCCTGTTACATCTCATTCATCAATAAGCTGATATTAAAATGTCAAACAATATGCATTTGCAGCAACAATTTGTTTGCCTGGAGGTGCAGAATTACTTCCCCCAAAAATGGCTAGCAAAAAATATTTGGAATAAATTTACAAATAGTGCCACACACACACAGAGGCAACACAGTTTTCATCACAAATGACATGGATTCATGCATCTTAACCTTATTGCTTAACCCATCCTAAGGTATAAAGGGAAAACCACTGGTTGTCTTGGCAACAGCAATCTCCTCCCTTGCCCTTCTTTCTCTCTGACATCCAACAAATCTATGGGCATAGAACTCGTACAGTCCCATCAAGTTGGATAGCTAGAAGGCACATTCTTCCACCCCTCTAGCTGCAGCATGAAGTTGCCCTACTAACATTTTTAAATGACAGGTCCTTATATTTCTTTTATTCCCAGCCCACAGTATAACAGAATTTAATTTAATTTTAATTTAATTTAATTTCCAATTTATATACCGCCCTTCTCCCTGAGGACTCAGGGCGGTGTACAGCCAAGATAAAAAACATAGAATACAAATATTAAAACATTTAAAAATATATATAAATTTTGGCCCGAAAGTTAAGAATCAACTGAGTTGGAGGCCTTCTAATCCAACCCCCTGCTCAGGAAGGAAACCCTATACCCGTGATGGTGAACCATATTGGTGGGCACGCGAGTGTTGCCCTAGCTCAGCTCCAGCGCACATGCGCACACCGGCTAACTGATTTTCAGGCCTTCTGGTCCCACCGGAAGTCGGAAACTGGCTGTTTCTGGCCTCTGGAGGGCCTCCAGGGGGATGGGGAAGGCTGTTTTTGCTCTCCCCAGGCTCCTAGAAAGCCTCTGGAGCCTGGGGAGGGCAAAAAACAGGCCTACCAGGCCGACGGTGCCATTGCGGGCCAAAAGCAGGGGGAGTGTGGGGAGGTCACATGCGCATGCACAGGAGAGTGGCGCACATTGAATTATAGATGTGGGCACACGCACACGTGACCTTCCACGCTCCCCCCACTTTTGGCACGTGATGGCAAAAAGGTTAGCCATCACTGCCCTATACCATTTCAGACAAATGTTTATCCAATCTTCTTCTTTAAAAACTTCCAGTATTGGAGACCCACAACTTCTGGAGGCAAGTCGTTCCACTCATTAATCATTCTGTCAGGACATCTCTCCTTAGTTCTAGGTTGGTTCCCTCCTTAATTAGTTTCCATCCATTGCTTCTTATTCTGCCTTCAGGTGCTTTGGAGAATAGGTTGACCCCACCCCTCTTCTTTGTGGCAACCTGTAGACGCAGTTTACAATTGTGTTCAGCTGTTTCAGTTTTTAAAAAGAGTTTCCCTCTCCACCCAACACACTTTCAAAAAAGCTTCAACAACCATGGAATTGAGGCTGCTGTCAGGGCTAGGATCTCCCCAGCTTCTATGGACCTCCTGATGTGGCGCGCACACACACCGCTTCAGTTGCCTGGCACTGCCCTCCGTGAGCATTTTTGCTTGGATTGCAAAGATATCAAAACCTGGCTTGCACTGTGCGTGTGCATGTGCCCATCCAGCATTCTGAATAGCATCAGTCAATCATTGCACAGCTTCTTTATATAGAGACTTTTCCTTCTGAAGAATTTTACGTCTGCTTAAATACTGTATGAATGTAGAGCTTTTTTTTTTTTTTTTTGAACCAGTGCCAGGTCTGCAATTAACAAACAGAACTAGCAAGTGCCTGTTAGTTCTGTGATGCAAATGTCTGAAAGACATCTGGGTTCTGCCCGTTGTCTGCTCCATTGTCAAGTTCTTACAGATGCTTAACTAAGGTCACATGTAAGTTAAGAGAGATGCAGGGCAAAATGGAGGGTATTCTCCCAGCACCTCACACAAGCTTGAAAGTTTCCTCCCAATTAGGCCTCTGTATTTTTGCTGGCCCTGTCAGCTGAGACATGCACTTCTGTAGATACCAGAACTAGGGTGTAACTTTCTGTATATCTGCCATTTTGTTTTTGTATGGAGTTTTGCATCCCAGCTCTATAGCAGTTTGAGTTATAATTTTCATTGGTGAGGAATCGTGTCTAATATCATGGGAATGCCTGCTTTAAATTGAAGAACGGTTGAAGATAAGGTTAAATATGAAGAACGGTTGCAGGAACTGGGTATGTCTAGTTTAATGAAAAGAAGGACTAGGGGAGACATGGTAGCAGTGTCCCAATATCTCAGGGGCTCCCACAAAGAAGAGGGAGTCAAGCTATTCTCCAAAGTACCTGAGGGTAGAACAAGAAGCAATGGGTGGAAACTAATCAAGGAGAGAAGCAACTTAGAACTAAGAAGAAATTTCCTGACAGAACAATTAATCAGTGGAACAACTTGCCTCCAGAAGTTGCGAATGCTCCAACACTGGAAGTTTTTAAGAAGATGTCTACATGGTGTGAGATATAAAACCCAAATATTTTAATCCTCACAATTCATAAACAAGTCTGGTTCACAAAATCAAAGGTTTATTGGAGATAAAATGAAGAAAAATAAAAAGCGGTTGCAAGTGAATAGATGGGGGTGGGGGCCAGTCAGAATTTTTACTACTGGTTCTCCGAACTACTCAAAATTTCCACTACCGGTTCTCCAGAACTGGTCAGAACCTGCTGAAACCCACCTCTGGTCCTAGGGCTGAAAACATGAGGCACTGCTATTGAGTGCCACCATTCATAGTGACCTAGATGGAGGGAGATAGGGAAGTTTTTCTTTCATGTGGAGTGAGATGATACACCAGCAGTCAAGTTAGGCATTTCCAAATTTTTGACACACTCTGACCAAACTGTTGCCATCACCAGTATAGAACATCATGCCTTTGAAGATCACATTAGCCCAGATCTTGCTGGCTTTTCACAGGGTCCTGAAAATGCTGTTTTGCCTACAGGCTGGAGATCTGGGAGTGTGGCAGAGTCCCTGCTGCAGCTGTACAGTCCTGGTTGTTTTGATGAATGGGTTTCCTGGCTGCGAGTTTTATGTATTTTATTGTTTTATATGCTTTCCTATTTTTTTTCTTGTTCTTAATTTGTTGTACAGATAGTCCTCAACTTACAACAGTTTATTTAGTGACCATTCAAAGTTACAACGGCATTGAAAAACGTGACTTATGACTGTTTTTCATAGTTATGACCTTTGCAGCATCCCCGTGATCACGTGGTCAAAATTCAGATGCTTGGCAACTGGTTCATACTTATGACAGTTGCTGGGTCCCAAGCTCACGTGATCACCTTTTTCCAATCTTCTGACCAGCAAAGTCAATGAAGAAGCCAGATTTACTTAACAGCCAGGTCATTAACTAATCAACTGCAACAAATCACTTAACTGTGACAAGAAAAGTCGTAAAATGGGGGGGAAACTTACTTAACAAATGTCTCACTTAACAACAGAAATTTTGGGCTCAATTGTGGTCGTAAATCGAGGACTACCTGTATTGTTCTTTTCTGTTCTTTTTATGTTTGTTTTGTTTGTAAGTCACCCAGAATCATATATATGAAATGTACACACATACATGTTTGTATATAAAGTCACACACATATATATAAAGGAACATGAATAAACATTTGCAACATTTGGTGGGGGAAAAATGTCACACCTTCTTGCAAACAACCTCCCCATTGTCTACATCAGGGATTTCCAACCTTGGTAACTTTAAGCCTGGTGGACTTCAACTCCCAGAATTCCTCAGCCAGCAAAGGCAAAGGTTATAGAGGTCCACATAACTGAAAGTCTCTTTCTAGTCCAGCCCTATTGTGACGGCAGGCGGCTCCGTCCAATCATCGGCTTTTAAAGGGCCACAACCCGGAAACGACTGAGGTGAAAAGGTCCGTGAATTTTATAGTCTAGCAAGTCGGTGGAGGTGGGCTCGACGGGCCGTTCAACCTGGCAGGTGAGCTTTTTAAAGGGATGGGAGAGTCCAGCCTGCCATAGAACTCCCCCCCCTCACCGTCGGGAGATTGGTGCCAGTGTTTTCGAAGGTGATTGGCTAAGAGGCTGTTGGAAGGAAAAAGAAGCCTTCCCCTTTAAGGATTGTTGGAAGGCAGAGCTTTCCCTTCTTGAATTCAAAACTCCCGGCTGGGAGATAACTTCGAAATGATTGGAGGTCAGCTGCTTGAGAGCAGAATTCGTTTATTGTTTATAGGAAGGCAGGCAAGAAACAAATACAAGCACAGGTTTCCGAGGCTAGCCTGTTTGAACTGTAAGAATAACTCTTTTTTTATATCCTAAAATTTAATTAATCAATTTAATTTAATTAATCATATTTCTATGCCACCCAATTCCCAAGGCACTCTTTTGATTTTCTAGGTGACCCTTTAAAATCTTTTGAAATTCTTTTGATTTGGCATGTGAATCCTTTGATTTGTGTGTGTGTGATTGTTTTATGGTGTTTAAATCCTGCTTTTTTGTGATCTTCCGTCCTGGATCTGGCAAAGAAGTAATTGTTTTATAGTCCAATCTCTGTTTTTCTTAGCCCTTTGTAGTCGTTCGTTCCCTATAATTAATCAGTTTGCTATTACTGTGTTTTAGTGAATATCTCTTTTTCTCATGTGTTTAAAATTCTAATTACTTTGGCTTGATTTCTTTTCCTTTTTGGGTGTTTGCTTTTTTCTGTGTCCCATATCTGTTTGGATGTTGCAGGCCCCTGTAATTTTGTCCTTCCTTTGTTGTGGAAAATAGGGTGGCTTCAGCTTCTTAATGGCCCATTGACAAAGGTGGGGGCTGAAACTTCTGCCTGAGTTTCTGCTTATTTTCTTTTAGGGGAATTTTCCTGCTCTTTTAATATTTTTTGAGTTTCTTTTCCTTTTTCTAGGAGAAGAGTGAATCATATCTTCCAACAAGGTGTCATGTGAAATTCGTGGAGAGGCTGGGGAAGGGGGGGGCTTAGAGTGAGAGAAATATTGAACATTGTTGTAGAACGGGTTTTCAAACGGATCGGCGTGCCCCTCGCGAGGTCATATGAGGGGAGGCGAGCGATTGTATTGGTCGACTGCGGTTTGGAGACCCTTGATGGAGAGATATGGAAGGAGCTTTCATGGTTGTCAGGGGCGACGGGCGGTCTCGGCGTAGAGCGAAGCCCAAGGTCTCTTTGGCTCGAGGGAATTAATTCTCTCCCCCTTGAGCGGAGTCGTAAAGATTAACTATTTATAGTGGGAGAAGAGAGTAAGAATGTGCTGACCAAAACGTCCCGTCCGGGACTGCACTGTTTACCCGGTCTGGTGTGCAGGCTCAGAAAGGCCTTTGCCCTCAATCAAGGGCCGGGGTAACCGTTTCATGGCTCTATCGATATTTTGGGGGGAATAGCTTTCTCCAGAGGCTGGACTCCTTTGAGCTGAAGCAATCAGGCCTCAGGTGTAATGGTTGATTTGGACGTGCGACTTTCAAAAAGCAGCCGCAGAAAAGTCATCCCGTTGAATAGCTTTGAGAGTTGGAATCAGAAAATTTAATATTTCTCATCATCTAATCAGAATAGAGTTAGAAGGGACCTTGGAGGTCTTCTAGTCCAACCTCCTGCTCAAACAGGAGACGCTATATCATTTCGGACAGGTGACTGTCCAGTCTCTTCTAAAAAGCCTCCAGTGACGAAGCACCTACAACTTCGGAAGGCAAGCTCTTCCACTGGTTAATTGTTCTGACAGGAAAATTTTCCTTAATTCCAGGTTGCTTCTCTCCTTGATTAGTTTCCATCCATTGCTTCTTGTCCTGCCCTCAGGTGCTTTGGAAAATGTTAGCCCTCTTCTTTGTGGCAGCCCCTAACCCTTGTAATACAGTTCAAAACCATATTCTGAATTTCAGCTGTGAGAACCTGATCATTTTATATGCCATGCAACAGAGAAGGGATTTCTCCAGGGTCTTTAAAATGGGCTTTTTCTGGACAGTATCAGAACAATATATATTTTACCCTTTTTACACACATAAATAGATGTTGAGGTTCTATTTTGTTTATAGTGAGGTTCATGTTATAATTGTGATGGTTGTGGGCAGTGGTGGGTTCCTCCCGGTTTGGTCCGGTTCGGCCTAGCCAGTAGCGATGATGATATGACATCACCGAACCGGTTCTCCCACCCCCCCATGTTATTCTTACCTTTTATTTGGTCCCACCCCCAATCTATTGCTGCCTCCTGAGTCCCAGCTGATGACTAGAGGGAAAAAAACTGTTTAAACTCTTGCCGCGGGCTTCAAAGGGCCGTCCTACAGCTGATCAGTGTTAAAAGCAAACAAATGAGTCGGGTCATAAGTGCGAGGACTGGTCATAAGTGCGAGGACTGGTCATAAGTGCGAGGACCTTCCAGAAATGACTCTGACCAGCTAGCCACACCTACCTAGTCACATGACCTCCAAGCCACATCCACAAAATAAGCCACGCCCACAGTAGTAAAAAAATTTAGAACCCACCCCTGGTTGTGGGGGGTTTCACTTGCTATGTGGTGTGAAACAAGCTATTGTGACCTATAATATATTGGTTTGGTTAACCCAGCCATTTTGGGTTTACTAAACCATAGCTAGTATCTCCCCACATCTAGGATGTGCAATGAGTCTTCTGCTGACCACTATATTAGTGACTTTATTATGTTTTTTACAAAAGTATGTTGCATTCATTTAAAGTACACATAAATATTAAGATCATCTGTTGCTGATCCGTGAGCATTTTCTTTGCGGGAGGAATACTCTCTGATAAACTAATTTAAATCTGATTTCTTTCCACTGATCAGGTGGCCCCTGTTACCACTATGGAACCACTGTTCCATAAGCTGCACTGGCTCCCAGTTTGCTTCCAGGTGCAATTCAAGGTGTTGGTTATCACATTTAAAACCCTTCATGGCACAGGTCCAGGCTATCTGAGGAACTTTCTCACCCCAATGACACTGCTCTGCCCAACTCCAGCTGGCAGAAGGAGCATGCTGCAGGTCCCATTGGTCAAGGAATTTCAGCTGGTTGGGTCCAGGAAAAGAACCGTTTCTACTGTGGCACCTGCCCTTATCCCCAAGGGGAGATCCGCTCCCATCCTTTTGCTTATCCATCAGGGCCTGAAGACCTGGCTATGGCAGTTGCCTTGAGCCCCCCCCCCTCCCATGGGAGAGTATTATACTTAAGGTGACCAGACGTCCCGCTTTTGGCGGGACAGTCCCGCTTTTGAGCAATTTGTCCCGCGTCCCGCGGCGTTTTTAAAAAGTCCCGATTTTTCATTCTGCCTCCTGAGTCCCGGCTGCCTCCTGAATCCCCGCTGATGGCTAGAGGGAAAAAAAACTCTTTAAACTCTTGCCGTGGGGCTTCAAAGGGCCGACCTACAGCTGATCAGTGTTAAAAAAAAATGAATAGACCCATGCCTGCAAAAATAGAAAAAACAGCCCCTGTTAACAGCTTCCGCTAGGTTAATTAGCTGCAAAAAGCTGCAAAAAGTTCCTGGAGCAGATTTGTTTTCCCCCTTGCTATACTGAAAACAAAGGCGAAAGCGAAACTAAACCTGCAACGTGACAAAATGAGGCAGAGAGAGATTTCTTTCTTTTTCTTTTTCTTTTTCCTCACCAAAAAAGGTAGGTACAAAACTGCAAACAATGGGAAATTTTGGGCAAAAGAGGAGAGTTCAAGATTTTAAAACACAAAAGAAAAAAAAGCTCTATTTAACTAGGGAATTGTAATAATTGAGATACTATTAATAATTGTATATTGTGTTGAAAGCAGAAATGGTTAAGTTGTGGTTTGGAGGAATATATGGGGGAAATTATTTGGTTTATTATTATTGGTAAATATAATTAATTGATTTGTAAGAAATTGGATTGCATGGAAATAATTGGAATATTCATGTTCATATTGATTAATATACAAAAAAGATAGTTATATAACTAATTGATTTATATTAAAATGTTGAATTTGTATTAAACAACTGTATTACATAATTACATAATTAACCAATGTGAGGATGGATATAAAAATAGATGACAATGGGAAGGGGTATAATATAGAATAGAAGGGAAAAATTGAATTTGATTAAGATTAGAGATGAGGATGAAGGGTAATATTGTTTTTTTTAAAAAAATAGATGAGGAATAAATATGGCAAAAAGGAAATATAGAAATTGTAAATTTAATTGAAATGACTAAACGCTGTTTAAATTTGTGAACCAGCCAAATATTCTGTTCAAAGAAAATACATTGTATGTTTATATGTGTGTTTCTAATTATTGCCATTTATTCATATTTGTTCTCTTTTATTCTTTAAAGTTTAACAATTCATTCTTAATCTTAATATCTTTATATTTGCTTGGGGTTGGCTTTCTTCCCTTTCATCTTTTTTATTGTACAGCAATCTTTCTCCTCAAACCTACCACCACTCTCTTTTCTTTCCTTCTTACTTTCTCTTCCCCCCACCCTCTTTTTCTCCTCCCTACTTCCTCTTCCTTTCTCCTTCTCCTCCTCTCTTCCTCCCTCTCTTACCCTCACTCCTACTCTAATTTCCATTCCTTCATCCCTCTCTATTGCTGTATCCTTTAATGCATATGGACTACTCAGAGGGCTGAAAAAGTTATTTTTGACTGGTCCTCACACTTTTGACCAGTCCTTGAACTTATGACTGTCCTCACATTTTACATTTTTGCCCTATCGTGTCATCATGATGAAGAGAAGCAGTTGTGAAATGAGTGACATGGTTGTTAAGAATGCTGCATGGGCATAAATATGAGGATGGTCATAAGTGTGAGGACCAGTCAAAAGTGCGAGGACCTGTCAGAAATGACTTTTTTCAGCCCTCTGGTTAGTCCTTTTGTGCATATGGACTACTCAGAGGGCTGAAAAAGTTATTTTTGACTGGTCCTCACACTTTTGACCAGTCCTCGAACTTATGACTGTCCTCACATTTTACATTTTTGCCCTATCTTGTCACCATGGTGAAGAGAAGCAGTTGTGAAATGAGTGACATGGTTGTTAAGAATACTGCACGGGCATAAATATGAGGATGGTCATAAGTGTGAGGACCAGTCAAAAGTGCGAGGACCTGTCAGAAATGACTTTTTTCAGCCCTCTGGTTAGTCCTTTTGTGCATATGGACTACTCAGAGGGCTGGAAAAGTTATTTTTGACTGGTCCTCACACTTTTACTTTGACTCCTCGAACTTACGACTGTCCTCACATTTTACATTTTTGCCCTATCTTGTCACCATGGTGAAGAGAAGCAGTTGTGAAATGAGTGACATGGTTGTTAAGAA